ATGCAGAGTGAGGGCACTGAGGAGCTGAAGTTTCTCAGCCATGCCTTCCACTCTGCTTAGGAAGCCTCTGAATTTAGGGATCTCTGGGTAGCCTGGCTTCACCCTAATTCTGCCACATCACCAGGGGCTAATACTGCCATATCACTAGAGTTGGGTAACAGTGGTAAAACCAAACCCTAATTTTTGCTGAACAAGGTCATATGATTCACCAACAGCCGCTCCCATAAAGTGTTCATCAGAAACACTTAATGAGGTAATAAGTACAAAATAATGGGCAAGTTCTTCACATCTTAAGATTTCAGACTGGGGAGCCAACATGGAAAAGAAATCTCATTCTTCCCCATGCTGAATATAAACTATTCCTCGTAAACCTGCACAATAAAAATGACAGTAGGTCTTTGGCTGTGCAAGTGCCAACGCTACCTGCTTGAGTTGGGATGTGCAGTTAAACTCCCATAAATTTCAATTGAGGGTATAAATATATTTGATATAAGTAAGGCCAAACATACCAGCTGTACGCAAATATTCCAGTTTAGCTCTGAAAGTAATCCATTATATTTTGGAGAAAAATACGCCTAACATTTTTATTTTTAAATCTCCATATAAATCAATCCTGTCTCATTCCAACAGCTTTGGGAAAGACTTTTTCAGTAGTTAGCAATGTTGTTAATAATAATAATCATCATCATAATGTCACTTCTGATCTCTTGCTTAATGATTCAAAGGTTCCTGGAGAAATTTGCTAATACCCAGTGCCAATCCTGAGCTGAGCAATTTAAGCAATCTGCTGATGTGATGATTTCCCAACATCTTTATAATTCATAAATGTCTTTCGTTGAAGGGGAGGGGGAGATGGAAGGAGGAAAAAGGCCACATTAATTTCATCTTGGCCTCTTGCAGTCACATCCTTAAACACATTGACGACTTTCTTTTCATATTGTTTCCGTCCACGGCTGCTGATCCATCTCTCTGCCTGAGTGGCCGAGCTGGCCTTGGGTGTGGTTTTGGAGAACACCAGAATAGTTGCTTTGGGGGTTTCAATATTGACACCGGGGCTGCCTTGGGATGGGGACTAGTTCAAAAGTTTGTGGGGCTGCCTTAGACATCACTGGCTTAAAATATCGTTCTCATATTCAGGGCTTAGTATTTTATTTACTAAGCGGGTGGTAAACGAGCCAGAACTGGGAGTGAGGGAACCCTGCTGTCACGAGTAGATAATTTCCTGGCAACCTTTAGATTGACTAATCTCCTCCTCAGGGGTAAATTGGTCCACCCTCAGAGACTTGGGAAGTTTAAAGGTTTCCTTAGCTTTTGTGGGAGCTGGAGCATCTGGCACTCCTGCTGAAGCCTTGGTGAGATGAAGAGATGGAAGAAAGCTGTCAACACAATTGCGCCTCCAAGCCCTCCCCTTCAAGGCAGATGCCAGTTAGCTCCCTGCTCCTCCAAGGACCTGCAGGCTTTGAACTGGGCAGGATGAGGCGGCGATGCCTGTGGCAGACCTTGGCCATGATGGCAGCATTGCATCCCCAAGCCATTTTCCCCCCGAGCATTTGTGGCTGGGTTAGGGTTATCACAATGGATCCCTTGTGGACAAGTCAGGCACAGTGCTTCTGTGAGGCACTTTGTTTTATGCAGGTCAAACAGCTTATTTTTAAGCAGAACTTGATGCTGTTACTTACATAGTCCCTGTGGAGGAGTGTGCATTACGCACTTAAGCTAATTTTATAGTTCAGTGAAGCCTGAGTATGTGAACAAGGACTCATCCAACTGCCCAGAACCTTGCTCATTTTGACTTTTAACAGTAAGTGAAAGAGAATAACTGGGAGAATCCATGAAGTAGTTAAAGCTCCTTTCCTGGATGGGGTATATTTTGGCCCCTTCTTAAGAAGCCCTCTTTGGACCTTAGCAATTAGGACAATAGCACTTCTAGGCAAGGCTCCTGAGGAGGCAGCAGTGGCAGTGGTGAACACCAGTTGCTGTTGGATGAAGTGGGTTGTCTGGACACATTCCGATCTGGGTTCAGGCCTGGGTTAGGCACTGAACCTTGGCCTCTGCAAGGGATGACTTCCATCAGAAGGTGTGCAGCTCTGCCAATTTACCTATTCCTCTGTGTGCGTTGTCTCTGACTGTGGTGTGTGGGGAGGAGAGATGGTGATGCCCTATCTTAAATGTTGGTGCCATAGCATAGAATGGGAGCGGTGCTTCTGTGAGGCTCCCTGGCTTTTCTGATGGCTCCATCTCACCACCGATGCCTGCAAGCGTCTGAATGCAGAGGTGGCACAAGAGCTCCTGTTGCTGAAGGTAGGTGGTACCCAGGAGAGGCTGGTGAGGCTCTTGCAGCAAGACTTTATGGGAACTATCCATGGTGCTAACCTCCAGCTCTAAAATTGACTTGGAACACCCTGAATAGCTCCTTATCAAGCTCAAAAGAAAACCTGCAATGGGTGAGGAACCTCAATGAGCTAAGAGTCACCAGCCTCCCTGGCGATGCTCCCACCTAGAATGAGGTGGCCTTGGAGATGACCTCTGCAGGAGAGACTGCCCTGTCACCCCTCTCATCCTGGGGTTGCCCCCTGAATGAAAGATCGGGCAGGGGGACAGGTGAGCTTCCTGCCAAACCTATCTCCCGTGAAGGACCCTCTCCCAAAGAGAGAAATTGGATGTGCAGCTTTTCTAGAGACTGGTCTCTTGCCTTGGGGAGGGCTCAGAGGGAAAGGTGGGGGTGCCTTCTTCAAGGAGCCTGGCCTGCCTGCTGCTTTCCTTCCATGGCATTTGCAAAGTGGAGGGGCAGGGCCAGTGTGGCAGTGCGGGCAGTGCCCACAGGGGAGGCACTCTGCAATGTGGCTCTCTGAAGCTGCTGGGGGAGGGAAGCAGGAAGTTGGTGTGATGTGCCATTGGTATGCTGACAGGATGCAGCGTCTCAGGGGCTGGATGAGTGCCCAGAGATGGCAGTGGGTTGGATCAGGGCCAACAAACTGAAGCTGAATCCTGGTGAGATGGAGGCACTGTCCATGCCTGAGGATTAGATGTATATTCTGTTTTAAATGGTGGTACACCCCCATGAAAAAGGTGTGCAGTGGCACGAATATTCTGGACTGAGCTCTGTCACTTGAGGTCAGTGGCAGAGTGCCTTTAAGCAACTTTGGCAGCTCCATTAGCTATAAGTCATTCCTGGGCAGGGAGAGTCTGGCTACAGTGATCCACACTCTGTAATTTCCCATCTGGATTATTGTAATATATGCATGTGGGGCTGCCCTCACAGCTGGGAACCCAAAAACTGGGAAGAGTGCCTGTCTCTGCACCAGTCTGCCCATGTCCCAAGGGCTTAAGAGACGGCTCTTCTCTGCATGCCGTTGCCAGCAGAGACCTGCTGTGCCGGGATGATGCAGAAGGAGGTTTTGAGATGCCACACACTCTCTGGAATGCCCTGGATTGGTGCTGCTGCTGCTGCTGTCATTTTGGCACCAGGCTAAAATGTATTTCGCCATGCATTTTGAAGTGTTGCCCTGGTTTAATTGTGCTGTCTTTAAGCTTTTGATTTGTTTGCATCATCATATTGTTATTGTAATATGCTATTGATTTTTCCAGGTTTTGTTCCTCTCTGATATCCTAGGAAAAAAGACAAGTCAAAAATCCTTTCAGGGTGCAATTTTATCACCCCCAACATCTCCAGAACATTCTGGAGAAGGAAAAAATGAAGCATTGTCCTCTGTGGGATCCTGATGGTGCCTCAGCCTCTCCTGGCAAGGAAGGAGAAAACATTGAGATGCCAAAATTAGCTGTCTACATATTTTGGAGGGCAAGCAAGGCACCGAGGCAATCCTAACCCCCACGCTTCCCCCACCTTCCTCTGCATGCCCACAATTCTCTGCATTTGGAGGGCTCCAGGAATCCACATTGGATGGTGCACTCTAGAACAGAGCATTTAACAGAAAGCTTTCACTAAATTGCAACGTGACTCGTAGCACCTTACTGCAAATTATCCAGTCATCAGAAAAAGGTCACCCATCTGCCAGCACCTTTGGTATAAAGAATTCCTTCATATTCTAGTAACATCAAATGGGCGTTTTTCATTGCATGAAGAAAGAAACCCAAAGGCCTTATTTCCAAATTTGGTTACCAATGTGCTTGCCATGGTTAAAAGGGGAAAAAACCAAACCAGTAAGCCCAAAGCTTGTGTTGTACCTCTGGGGAAGTCCAGAACACCTCTGCTTAAACTCATTTCCTCCACTGCTGGCTGAAGAGAGATTTAAAAAGGCGCCAAGAGACACAAGTTATATATACCCAGCAGGCATTCTCCAGAGAATCATGGCAGGTTATACATTGCTTTAATCCCCTGCTTCTCTTTTTCCAGGCAAAGAAAGAGATTTCGTAGACATCTTGGAAACACCTGTGGCAACTGGGTGCATTTACCAAGGCATCAGTTCTGATGCAACTTTAGCAGACTTCCAGAAACACATTTTCTTTTCCAACTTTCAGTGGGAAAACTCCTCTAATACCAAGTGGGCATTTTTTATTTGGATCAAGCCATCCTTCCCTTCCTTGTGTGAGGACAGTGAGGAATTCAGAGGCATGAATTAGTTACCATGGTTGTTCTCTTTCATGTTCTCACTCTAGCCAAGTTGGGGAACCTCAAGCTCAGGGGTCAAATCCAGCCTTCCTGGGTTCCTTAGGCAGCCCTACTGCTTCCCTCCGACTTACTGCTTGGTGGTTTCTCCACTTTGGAATGGTGCTTCCCATTCTAAAAAATATTGGAATTTGTTGGCCATCACTATATCCCATGATAGTGAGTTCCATGGTACACAGTTAAACTATGTGATTAAGTGCTTCTTTCTATCGCCTTGAATGAAAATGAAGGCTCCATAATGCAGACCAACCAAAGGTGTACAAAGTTGAAGTACACACACACAGGTGCTCACACAAACATGCACACTCATACAGTATAAGGTTATAAATAGCTGGAAAACATGGATTTTTAAAATAAAAGTGTACTATTGTGATTTTATTGTATTTGCTTTTATTGTAATCCACCTTAAAAGTCATGCTTAGCAGAAAATCAGGCATTTAAAAGAACACACACAAAAATGTGCAAAATATTCAAAATTTAGGTATTTCCCTGAGAACTTTGGTTCTTTGTTTCAAATAAAGTTCATATGGCTGTATTAATAACAAAGATTCACAGTTGACTTATAAAACATAATTTTAATTAGAGGTGCATTTTCCAAATAAACAGGATCAAGTTCAAGTGTTATATGTTATTAGGCAGCATGTTAACAAGTTATTTAACAATTTAACAAGTCATTTAGGGCTGAGAAACAGACACTTAATACTAGTTGCATTTTCCAAGTTAATAAAAGCCTAGACACAGGTTAAACTTTTAGATTTGATGCTTGAAACAAAATGTCTTGACTTATTCTAAAATAGGTCACATTTTCAGACTAGAACGCATGGCTGGAATGTCTTGTCCTAACCAGAAAAATGACAGGAGATTCCTTCTTCACAGCTGCAGCTGTAACTCTCCTGACCAAGATGAGCATGCATTTTTATTATGAGCATACACACTAACCCCCTCAGAGCTGAACTTCAAACTGGACATCTATGTGTAATAATAATTCCAAATGGAGGTTTAGGAGCGCACCAGTGTCAGCTCAGAGCTTTGTCAGTGACGATTACAAAGTAAAGCTGAAAGACATTAGAGAGACAGCTCACACTTCTGTTTTACCCCATGTACACACATGGGGAAGCTATGGTCAATTGCAGCTTCTTCCTAAGTATACATGGAGTTCAACAGTGGTAGTGTACTGTTTCAAGAACTCCTTGGACAATGCTTACAAGCCAAGATTGTCCGTAATCCTGGTTTATCATTTTGTGTGAATACAACCTAGATGTGTACATTTCAAGAATGCTCAGAGTGTATCGTGTGAAGTGGTCCATAGTCAGTTTAAGATCACTGGTGAAATTCTTAAGGTAGTGTTGGATTCAATCTTACAAAACAAGACCAATCCAAAAGAGACCCTTTATTCACTCTTTAACACACTTAAGGGAATTTAAATTTTGATACTGAAGGCTTGTTACATTATGATGGGTCCATTCTTTTTTTTACCAGATCCTTCCCATGAAGCAGTTGATACCTTTTAAAAGAAATAGTCTCCATTTGTATAAAGTGGCTACTCTTTTGAATTTGCCTTTCAAAACAAGGCTGATATCCCCCTTTACATCCCAAGTAAGACATTTTTGCTATTGCATAAAAGTAAGTTTCTTTCACTGTGGTATTTGGAGTACTAGTCTTCTAAGTAACCTGGACCTTTCTTTCGTATGTTTACTGTAATATTTATGAACAAAATTCTAAATGAGAAATCCCACAGAAGTCAGTGAACTCCAATAGGGATCTTGTCAGCTAGGGCAGTGGTACGACATGCCATTTTTTGTGGCTATACAATGTAAAGATTTGCATGCAGCAGGACCCAGATCTCTGAAAAACAGTGAGTGGCAGTGCAGCCTTAAAGTCTTGCTCCTACAGAATGGATGCTCATTGTTTCAAAGAGCCACTGCTCACTTTTCCCTATCCTTGGTCTTTCTTTCTGCCACTTCCTCACATTCCCAGTTCTTAGATCACTGGGATAAATAGAATGTGAGGGTTTTTCCCAAGACAGGAAGATAGTTAGGGTTGATGGTTCTGTTTCAACTCTTAGGGAATGCAATACAAGAAAGAGTATGTCAGCATCAGGTGAACGCTGAACATGCAGCAGGAAGGTGTGCATGGGGGTGATGGAGAATCCAGAGATAAAGAGGTCACTTACAAAGCTTAGTATTGTCTAAAGAATGACCTGGAGTACAGCATTAAATAATCTTTATAAGAAATCCCTCCCACACACACACATTTAACTTCCTTGGACCAATTACTGCTTAAGTCAAGGCTATTGGATCATAACTAAGAATACACCATTATAGTTTTACTTTGGGGCTGACCAGGGCTTCTTCAAAACTCCGTGGAAAACAGTGAGAAGATCCCAGTGCAAAGTAACTAGTTTTTAATGAAGACATCATAAAACTCTATCAGGAAATCCTTCTAATTATGATTTGTACATTAGCACTTATAGAGAATTTTTAAATGGCTTTCAAAAATACACACAAATGCTCTGAGATAGACACCTTCAGTCACTAAAGGAGGATTCACTATCTGAACTTTCTTGTCCATTTGCCTCATCATTCCTTGCAGGTACTGCAGCATCTGGTGTTCTGGAAAGAAAAGGTAAAAAATTACAGCTCTAGGATCCCAAAAGACAGAATGGCTTTGTGTTCAGAATGGAACTACTTCCAGAAGAGTAGCTGCATAGATGCTGTGGGACCGTACAGCTGCGTGGCATGGGCTTTCACGGACAAAAAGATGTGCATGGGATGTTTGTACCCACAAATTGTTGGAGGCACAAAGGCATACTGCATCAGACTGTCTTCTTCACGAAGAAAGAAAACTTCAGAACAATTTGCCTTGGATACAAAATCCAGAAAGACCTGAGTGGGTAAAGAAGGTGAGGTAGAAAGTTCCTAGCTCAAACCTTATTAAACTCACTGGAGAAGGACAATTTTCAGCCTGGAAACCATCAACTGATTGACAGTCAGGGGAAAACAGGATTAGAGAGAATTTAAGGATTAAAGAGAATTTATGTGAACTCTTTGAGTGTTCCAATATTGCCTATTATTAAGGCAAGACTGGTAGGTAGGAATGGAGAACCTTTTTTCTGTTGAAGGCTATGCTTGCTAGGGGGTAATCTGTAGGGGCCTCAAATGCCAAAGTCAAGAGCAGGCAGGGTCAAAGGTAAATGTGAGTGCCCCCTCATCTCTCTCCTCTAATACTTCCTTTTTCTTTGACTTTCAATGGGTCACCGAGGAAGGGACAATTAGCTCTTACCAGAAGTCTGAAATAATTCCTTACAGAGGTGTTCCGGAATGAGGTCAAACAAGGGCCACATAGCCACTGAGTAGAGAGTCTGCTGTTACAAATGCAGAAAGGAGTGTATGTAGGAGCTAGGGGAAAACATGGTGTATTGGTTAAGAGTGTAGGCCTTGAACTCAGGTGAGCCTTAGAACTACTGGATGACTCTGGGCCAGTCACAGATTCTCAGCCCAACCTACCTCACAGGGTTATTGTTGTGAGGTAAAGACTGAAAGGAGGAGAATTATGCAAGCCACAATGAGTTCATTGAAAGGAAGAAAGGTGGCACAGAAATATAACAATAAATACATTTAGGAATGCTCTCTGTGTGTGGGAGACAGGAGTCTAGATTTGTGGATAAACTTTTGTAAAGGTTATACAGTTACATTAAAGCTGTGAACGCTGATTTAGGATCCTGGTATCTTAACTCAAAACATCTCTGCTAAAATATTTGATTATCCCACCATGGACTGTGAAAATCCCTGGGGTTGGCAACTAAGTGTCCCCTAGACACTCTTCCTGCCAAATCCCCCATCTTTCTTAATTTTGTTTATTTATAATTTTAAAGAATTTTAGCTTTGTTTTTTTTAATGTTCAACAGCTGCAAAACAGATCTCCCCAGCAGGCCTCTAAGCTCCATGTGGGCCCAGAGCATTCTTCAGAGGAAAGGGAAAAAAGTGGCATGGTTGCATGCCAGAACTGTTGCTTTCCAGAAGAAAATGGAAGAAAGTTTGGAAAAAAGTTACTTTTCCCAGCAACTCAAACCTTCACCTGGACGGGCCCTATAATATCACACTTCCCCAAAACCTGTAACAGGTACATCTTAATTGTTCTTACAAGGTCGCAAGTTTTTCAGATCACATTCCTCTGAAGCTTTGACATGACCCAGAGATGTGCTTTCCTCCCCCACTGCAAGTGCCATCTCCATCAAATCTCCATATACAAGCTTGAACATATACTGTTCAAGCGAAACAGACTTTTTGGCTTACTCAAGAAGATCTGGGTTTAATCCTTCAGAAATCATTTTGTTTCTTATTGCCATTACAGGAACACCCTGCGGAGAGGGAGAAAACAATCATTAAAAACCTTGAACAGTGCTAAATAAAAGTGCTCTACCATATTCCCAGTGTTTATTGAAGAAAACAATAAAAAGCTTTGAATCAAGAAGCATATTTTGTTCACTGAATAGCATTAGGATGACTGAAAATATTCTTTTTCCTGTCACTGCCTCTACTGCAGCAGGGGAAGATAGGAGATACAGAGAAAATAAGTTACATTTTTGAGTAAGTCTGGTTTAATTTGGAGCCTATACCTAGAATATCCTTCTCTTTAAAAAATTAAAAAGCCCAAATGACTAGATAAAGAAGCTGTAATATGTGTCTACCATGCCTTCCTCCCCGGCCCCCCAATATTGGTGCAAGTCACTCATCACTATAGCGCAAGTCATTCCTCATTCTTTTCCAGGCACTACCAAGACCCAGTGCTCTGTGTGGGCTGAAGTTAAGTCATCATTGTAAAAGTAGTGCTGATTGGTTCCTCCACTGTGATTGTCTTGCCAAAGAAAACAAGTGAATGGAGACAAGAAAACAAGTCATCAACACAGGGAAAATAGGTCAATGGTAGATTGAAGCGCAGATCTGCACGTATGGCATTGCTTTTACCAGTGCCCACCCAGCTGAGATGCAGAAACAGGTCTTGTATATACAGGAAAGCAATCAAGCCCTGGATCATTTGGACATTCAAAAGAACTAAGAGTCATGTTGGATCAGACTGAAACCCTAATCTAACCACAGCAGCTAATCTCACCATTCGGCCCCACAGTGGCCAAGCAGCCACTTCAGCAGAAAGCCTCGGAATACGAGTGCAGTAACACTGTCCTGCTTGCGTTCCCCGGCAACTAGTATTCCAAGGAATCATGACATGGACACCCAGGACACACCTGGGACAAGCAGGCACATACTTCATGATCATCTGTCTGTAGTATCCAGGCCATTAGGTGCAAAGAGACTTTTTTATAAAGTAACATTGCAATATCTTTCTGAAATATGAAAAAGCACAGCAGAAGCTGCAGCAGCATCAAAGCCACTGTAAAGGTAGGCAAGGGTTAGATCCACTAAAAAATGGATTTTCTATTTATCCCAGTTTCAAGATTCCCAAATCCTTACATGTAGAGGTGGCGCCATAACCCTTTTAAGTTTCTCAACAGCCTAACTCCAACCCACCCAGATCCAGAGACAGAATAGAAAACCCTTCTGATTGGACTCTTGCTGTCCTTGGCAGAAAATTCAGTGAAGAGCCACCTTTTACCAAGATCTCAAGTACAGATGTCAGCCTCCTAAATTTGTGCATTTTTTTGAAACTTTGGAAATTAAGAAGAGGAAGACCAATTATGAGATGGATTGACTTCTTAAAGGAAGCTTCAGTCTTATGTTTACAAGAGCTGAGCAGGGCTGGGAAGGACCTGGAGCACATTCATTCAGGTCAACCTGATGCCATATAGCAACCTGGAGACATCCTGATGCCACATAGCAAGAACATAAATCTTTGTGATCTATTTTTAATAATTTAGCTTAATTAATCTTGCAGTAGGTAAGTATCTACATGTGGGGTGTTGCTAAGTCATTCTCCTTCAGCCCCTGTGACAGTTTCTTGGTAAAGGAGCCTTACCTCAAGAAGATTTTCTGCATTTAAACAGTACAAGACCCAGAATTTAACAAAAACTGCTCATAATGGAGGGTGTTGGCCAACTGTATTCACACAGAGGAGAAACTTCTTTCCCAGCAGGCTGTCCCACAGTTTGTAGGCCATTCTCCCCAAAAGAATCAAATAACCTCCCTTCCTATTTTCCTGCAGGATACCCAAGAGCAATACCAAGTCCAAACTCTCTGCTAGGGATGTTCCAAAAGACTCTGCCCCTGCGTTTCTGCTGCCGAGGCTCAAGAGGAACACGTTCTTTTGCCATAATTGATGCAAAAGGTCAAAAGGAAAAAGAAATATGTCCAATTCTGACTTCTACTGGAGGTCTGAAAAGGACATGAGGGGCCTCAACATCTAAATGAACAGTGGTGTGTGGTTGGTTTTGGCATGGAACAAATGTACTTTGGCCAAGGTAAGTAGAAGCCTTTAAAACGGCGAAGGGAGCCATGACTGGTGTTTCAGAGCCATGCGTCTGTACCAGTGTCGCTGAAGAAAGTGGAGAGCACAGTCAAGGCTGGCAAAGCAGTGGCCACGCTAACGGAGTGATGAATATTTTCCTGCACGCATCTCTATTTGGGGCAGTCCCCCCATATAAAACTGGCTATCTCCAATACAAACAATTAAACCTCGCGGTTTCATAAAAGGAATCTGCAGAGATGCTATTGCTGGGAGTCACACACATCTTTTATGACTGGGAGGTACCATGCGCAATATGGAAAATATATGAGGGCTGGAAGCGGGGGAGGACTTATTATCTGGATGCCCTGCATCTTACACTGGGAAAATACATTACAAATATTAAAAATAGAAGGCAAGATTTAGCCATGGAACAGAACCACTGTAGCTAGAAAAGGGCCCATGAGATCACAATAGAGATGCACACTTTTAGAGAAAGATTTCCATATAGGGAAGCTTCCCATTTCAGAAATCTCTACTGAACAATATCCCAAATCATGCCATCTTATAAACAACCAGGTAGACACATGTATTGACCTGGGAGTGAAGTCCACATCATGTTTTTCACTAGGAAATATACATATAATAAATCTATGTTGCCATGGCTAAATGGATGTTTACCAAACCAAGTAAGTAGGCATGTTTATTTGTGCAGATAAGAAAGAACTTCTGCATTAGCAGCAGGTTGAGACCTTTCTATCTACCCTGCTCAGTCAGAAGCTGGCATTCTTGAACAGTGATGGTGTGAGGAAGGAAAACGCACTCATACAGTTCTTGGTGGACTCAACTGAACAGTCCCATGTTTCAGGACTGAGGATGGGCAGATGATTGCAGCCTCATGCTGGCCAGAGGTGGCAACCTCTTGAGCCAACTGAACTCAGGATTTTTTATGTGATGCAATGAAGCAATAACCTCAAAGTTTCTTTGTTCCATGTGTCAGGTTACTGATAAAGAACACTGTTCAAGTTCTTTACAGAACCATAAGGTTTAACAATGACCTGGAGAGAAACAAGTTGCTTTCCTTGGGAAGTATCTAAATCAGCATGAGTGCTAACATAAATTATGCTGTGCTGGTGTAAGAAAATTCTAATGCAATGCCATGAAATTTAGCTGGTATGATGGGATTCCATGGGAACTCTGTTCTATTTTACTGTTTCTGTAGTACTCTATATTATATATTATCATTGCTATTGCATTGCTTCTAAAATTGTATTTTAAATGTTATTTTAATTTTTGTATGAAAACTGCTTAGGAATTTTTAAATATTTAGAGTTTAGAAATACAAATAAATAAATACAAATAGATAAATATTTATTTGCTAGACGCCCCTTATGCTCGTTCATGGGTGAGTAACACACAGCCCACAAAAATGTCCCCTGGATCTTACAAAGCTGCCCACCCCTGCACCAGCACAGTGCCCCTTTAGGTCACTGCTTGTGTCGATTTGACTTCTGTCCATAAACTACAAATAAAGTAGGAAGCCTCTGATACCATGTGGTGTAATCCAGTTGTTTTCACACTGTGTGTCCTCACTCCACATTAGTTCAACAAAAGATTCCAGGCACACATTTTGTACAGGTGGTGCAGATGTCCTCCGCCTCACCACAGCCACACCCATATACCATCCCCTATAACACACCCCAAATTGCTCTGCAAGTGGGACACTGCTGGAGCAGATCACTAATGGTGGACAAGATGTCTTTCAGCTGAAAGTAGCTTCTGATGTCACAAGAAACACAAATTAAGAAATTGTTACTGGCATAGTCAAAAGGGCACTTAACCACCAGTTTCAGCACAACGTTCAACTAAGCCTGACTGATTCTAGTCCAGTGAGTATTTCTTCCCATTTCAGAGCTTTCAACAACTGCAAAGCTTAAAGAAATCTTTAGAAGTTACTATCCAGGCTTCGAGTCGAGAAAGTATCATGGGAAGTATGAAGCAAGAAATGGGTAAGATGAAACCCACACCTACATACCTATGCTTTGATACAGTAGAGATTTCTATTTGCCAAAAAACTGTATATATCACACATATGACAATAAAATGATTTATAAGCAAATAAAAACATGGGTTGTATCATATAACTAATGCAAGAAGAATTTTAAGATCATTTCCTAGGGGCCTATAAATGGTGAGCTTACAGTTTTATGAAATAGGTAAAGTTGTCCCAAATGGAAGATAATTTACTTCCAGATCCACCTTTAAATTGGAGAGTCGCAGCATCCCCTCTCAATTTAAAACAGAAAGCTTATCTGTCTTCAGGCTCAGTGCTGGCTTGGTTATTGCTACAGATGGCTCTTTGGTTCATATTTGCTTCACTTATTGAGGTTTACATTTGAACCTGTCACACCCACTGAAGCAATTTGCTTTCCATGGATTTTTGCCATTGTGAATATTGCTTCAGACTTTATAGTGGGGCTGTCTAATTCCTTGGCTATCAAGCCAGAAAATATTTGTCTCCTTAGTGGCCAAGCTGCAGCTCCCAATCTGTATGCAACAAGCAACACATGTGCAAAGGAATGGAGAAATCTGCCCTAAATCTCGCTTCAAGATTCTCCAATTTACACTGTAGAGGAACAGTGGGAAATCTGTAGGTTAAAACATTTGGAGGGCCACAGCTCCCAGGATCCTTCACTACTATGGTAGCTAGGGCTTATGAAATGTGTAGGTGAAAATATCTGGAGGGTCACATGTTGCCTGCTCCTCTTATACAGGCTACACTCCAATGCAGGGTTAGTTGCAGTTGAAATCAAGAGCTTTAACTCTTGTGGACTGAGGCCATGCAGCTCCACTGCATCTGAAGAAATGCACTGATTCATTAGGGGCAAAGTCTGGTCATCTGGAACCCATGGGAAGTGTTATCTATATAAAAGGCATGTGGGGGAAACAGAAAGCATGATGACCTCATCAGCATGAAAGTCATGAGTTCTCGGAGAGAAGTGCTTCAAACAGAGAAACAGAGAAAGAAGTGAGAATAATTACACGGTTGGTTTCCCAAGTTTCTGTGTTATTTCAAAAAGTAAATCTACTTTTTTAAGTTCATGAGTAATGAAAACCTGAAGACGTAAGTGTCTCACTGACAGGAAAACCCACATTAGAAAAGCAGAAAGATGGAGCCTGTAGCTCTGTGACTGAGTATATGCCCTGTAAGCCAAAGGTTCGTTCCCTGCCATCTCTAGCTAAAGAAGGATCAGGTAGCAGAGGGTAACTGGGTTTGGACAACATAACAACCCAGAGCAGAGTGTGGGTTGTTGTTCTTGGACCATGGGCTATTGTTGAAACATGGCTTGTCACAAACCTAGCTGTGATTACAAGCTGTGGTTTGTTAATGTCAAACAACCCATGGTGAGAGCCTATGCTTTGTTGTTGGATTGTGAACTGTGGGTTGTTTTGAGGTTAAAAGCCCATGTTTTGTTAGCATGGCCAGGTATAGATAACACAATAGCATATTTTTCAACAACAACAACCACTGAGTGCAGCTTTTTTGTATTGTCTGAACACAGCTGATGTGAGAGACTGCTGCCAGAGTAAGGGATACAGGGCTAAACAAACAGTCTCATCTACTATGAAGCAGCTTCCACTCCTAAAAGAGAGATTCAAGTCACAAAAGGCTCTCTCCACACCCTTTTTTACACTTAAAAGGGGAAGAACAGTTCCATTCTTCATACAGCAACTGCATTTCCCTGATACAACTATGCTTCTGCCAGGATCTGTGCTGCTCTGGGGTTTCATTTGGTGGCCAGAACCACAACACCCACCTCAATATTCACAGGACTGGTTCCAGGTCCTGCTGCAGCTCTCAGCCTCCTAATACCTGTACCCTCCTCTGTTACAGGCCATTCCTGGTTCTTAACCCTAGGCTTGCTCACGATCACATCTGTGTCTTGCCCTGAGACATACTCGTGGTTCCTGACCTTGTCCTGTTCTGTAAGTTTGCCTTGGACCTTGCTATTGGCCTTTGGACTCAGCACTACTTGTGTTTTTCTGCCCATACCCTGGTTTCTAACATTCTCATAGTAAATACAGAACATGATAAGCAGCTGGACATCCTTCAAGCCTCACATACATGTACCTGGGAGCCCTAACTGGAATGGTGCATCTGCAACAAAGTCAGCAAGGTCAATTGTCAGAAATAATGTGAGCAGTAGTCCAAAACATGTAGAAGGGACCAGGTTATGGAAGGCTGCCATGGACTGCTACTTTTCTATTCTTGCACTTAATATTCTCTATCAACTTAAAAGCAGTGCATACAAATACAAGTTAGCTGTATCTCCCAACAATCCAGTCACTGAAGAGGAAGATTGAACTAAGTTTGAAGGCACCTCCATGAAATGGGGATTCCATGAACAGAACCATATGCATTATAGAAAACTGTCAGCGGAGTGTTCTCTCTTCAGCCACTTCAATCTTTCCAAGTCCAATAGTAATTATCCAGTGCCATTCAATGCCAGTACACCTACTCCAGATTCACAGGAAAATGTCTGAGCCAACAAAGAGGCCTAGTGGAATATACTAACAACCACCCTGAATTTGAATGCTTTGTATTAAAGGCTGACTCAACGATAATGGCTGGACTTGAACAAGCCAATTAAGCTGCTAGTTCCATTTTAATTTCAGGAAGGCTGCACATCATGGTCCAAAGGAATGACATGCCAATTGTTGGTTAAAAATAAGCCCAACTTGCATGGTACAAAGGCAAAGGCACCTCTTAGGAAAATGTGTGAAGACTTATTTCCACTTTATTCTCCAGCAAAGGAAAAAATGGGCATGTGCCTTCTCCTGGCTCCACCAAATGTCTTGGTGGAATAAGCCTGAATTGCTTCTCAGACAGCCATTATTTTCCTGCTGACTTTAATCCACTGAAATTCAGAATGCCTTTACTTTGCATTTCCAGGAAAAGTAGGAGTGGCACATTCTTGCACATTTTATTATCATAACAACCCACAAAACAATTGCGTCCATATTATCTGTAGTGGTACTTTTACACAGAAAGCTCAGGGCAGCCTTCCCACCCTCTGAAGAAGCTGACTTATTTGTGCCCCTATTTAGGGCTATGCAAATGCTTTGACTGCGGGAGGACAGAAAACACATAAGATGCAGCATTTTAGGACTCAAGTTACAAATCTTAGCTTTTAAGCAGACTCTACCTCCACAACCCCCTCCCCCTCATGCCTAGTCCTCATGGTCAGGATGATATGCTTGGAAGTGCATATGGAATGCTTACTAAGATTTTCGGAGTCAAATAAAGTGATTGAATAAGAGTGGCTAGAACAGAACTTCAGGCCTGGACAGAGAATCTTTAATTTCATGAAAGGAATGAAACTTCTCATATCTGCATCAGTTTCAGCATCAGGGGTCAGGAGTTGCTAGAGAAACAATTCTGGGTTCTCTCCAAGCTAGCCTGTTTTCTAAGGAGCATGTCTGCTATTATGTGTTTAAAGCAGAAGCCTCCTGTATGTGGTACAACATCCACAATGCAACTGATGTAGCAGGACATTAGGAAACAATCCAAAGCAAGAGCAGCATAACTGATCTTCAAAGGGCTCATAACAAATGAATCTTGTTCCCATCAACTGGAGCATGGTCCCATAAAACACAGTAAACTCTGGAGATACGTCAACACATTAAACAGGGCAGCTCAGGGATGCTCAGCCATTAATTATGGGTGACTGGAATAATCCTTACAGGGGAATATCTACATTCAGAATACAATGAAAATAGACTATTTCCAGATATGAGAAATATGCTTTAGAACAGTTTGTTGTGGAAAGGACAGGAGGCCAAGCCTAACTATGCAGAATAGTTTTCTGAACTGCTTGACAACAGTGACTTCAACACTATCAAATTTTACATGCATGCAAATGGACAAACGTCTAGGAAGTCCATTTGCAGCATATGATACATGAAGAGAAAGTTGATCAAATGCCAGAGGACTAGATAAGAGGACACTGAAGGGCCCGTCAGGACAGCTGCCTGGGAAGATAGTTTTGCTACAGAAACACACTCAACATTTAGTGCTTGTGACAAAGCCTGAACAAAATTGGCTTACCACATGAACCATTTTGAGATATCTGGCATAGCGTGGATCCTTTGCTACAGTGGTGACGTTTTCTGGGGTTCCTTCAGCCTTATGTTGCCCCACTTCATGTACACTGCCCTGCTGCAACCAGAAACATTTTCTGTTAGTCTTTAAACACATGTAGATGTTGTGTGTTTTAGAGAGGCTAACCCACGAAAACCATAGTCAAGAAACATGGATTCCTCCTTCATAGTAGTATTTACCTCTGAATGAGGTGATACATTTGTTGACTGTGGATCTATTGAAGCTTGTGAGACAGAGCCATTCATAACACTGTTGTTGCTGGTACCAGATACTTCAAATTTGACATCTTCGAGACCAGGTATAGATGACAACTGAAAATGGAGAACATCAAACAGAGGAATCATTTTCACAGTGTAAAAACTGACCTTTGAGCAGGGCTGGTCCAAGGCACGTCACTGCTTGAGGCAGTAACAAAATGCCTGACCCTCATTCCATAGAGAATCCAACTAGCCAGGCAGCTGAATTTAATTTCCACCACCTTGAGGGCAGCAGGCTAGTTTTGGGGACAGAGGGCAAGCTCTGTCTTTGAAGAGAGAAGAGCGGCTACTGAGGGCAGGAGGGACAGCTGGAGAGTTGCCACTGCTGTCCATCCCTGAACATCTGCTGCCTGAGGCAACTGCCTCACTTTGCCTAAAGGATGGGTCAGCCCTGACTTTTAGCTGCTTACTCAGCATCTAGCCCACATTTTCTTTCAGCAATGCTTCAGAATATACAGTTACATTAACAAAGTGATAGTCGCTCCACCCTTGCCTGCACTCCACTATTCACCTCTGTTTTGCCCTTATCACAGATATCCAATTTCCCATCTGCTTTTATTTACATTCTGTCATTCTGGGGGAAAAAAACCCCCATTCATTTCTGTCTGGAGACAAGTATAGCTCTGATGAAAACTATGCTTTGTGAATTACACAGGCAAGACCTTTTAAGTATGCTGAAGACTACCAGTAATGAGAAGGAATGTATGACCCACAAACCTTTGCATCCAGAATATTGAGTGTAGTTTCAATTTGCTGAATTCGCAGGGAAAGTGCTGACAATTTCTAGGAAAGAAGGAAGTGAAATATTATTCAATACTTACTCATTGTCAAATCTTTGCTACACCCTTCTGGCCCAGTAAATCCACCCCCTACCCCAGCATACTTATTGCCTCAGTCCTTTGGAGAATGATGCAGCACATCACAGAATGATACGCCAAGACTTGTTACACAGATGGCCTGAAGTACCTCATGATATAACACTGGTTACTGTGAGGGTGGTTGCTACAGGTACACACTGCAGAGAAGCCTAACAAATAGCAATCAGCTCACAAAAATAATAGCTTAACCATCCCAAATGGATCAGGATTGCCACTTGTGGCCTAAAAAAAGGGAGAAAAGGCTGATTTTTGTGAGAATGGTATTCTGAAAGCAATTCCTTCTTACCACAGGCAAATCAAGAAAATATCTATGTACAAGTCTAAGGCAAAGAGTTTCTTTCCAATTGTTACATAATGGTACAGGCAGGTACACAAAGGCAGCGGCACTGCAGGAACGGAACCTTAACAACTATGGAACTGAGTATCCTGAACAGCCACACTCTAAGACCTGCTACAAGGCAATTGTGTTCTTAGCTCTTAATATCACTAATGAATCTATCAGTTAAGACAGGAGTGAGGAACCACAGACTTGGAAGCCTAATCTGGCTCCCTGATATGTCCTGAAAAGCCATGCCCCTTTCCCTCAACTACCAGGTACTTTCCTGGCTTTTGTGCAGCTTTCCCCTTATTCTAAGGAAGTTGAAATGCTGAGATCAAAGGATTAGTTACCGGTCAGAGAAGATCTAAGTGAATATATGCTGGTATTTCTGGGTTTTGGCCCTGCACCTTCGGCTTTGCCCACAAATGGACTGTACTGTATGAATGCTTTTCCAAAATGACCCTTGGATGAAGGAGGACCTGCACACCTGAACTAGAGCTTCTCACAGCCCTACTTATAATTGCTAATCGGGACTGAAGGAAAGAGATGGAGCTAATCTGACAGAAGATCTAGTGAAATAGCAGAATGCTCCAGGTTTACTTTGCAATCAAATATCATCTAAGGTTTCTTTTAAAATGCTAGCCTATTTGTCAAAAGCTAAGAACCATCGGAACTGATACAGTATTTAGCTAATTGTTGCCATATGCAACCAGCCTTGGTTAGTGTGTTGGCTGGCAGATCTGCAGCATTCTCACTGCTCCTGGCACAGTAATGCATTCTTGCCAGGCTCACTGAGCCAGGAACTTTAACACCCTGAGAAACATGCCATTCAGCTAACATAATGAGGGTGGGGGATGGGACAGATGTCAACAGGGCCTTTTAAAAAAAGTGGTTTTATCTCTATCTATTTCTTTATAGATGTCTTTGTCATCCAGAATGGATGCTGTTTAAGAAACATAATTGCACGGAGACATTTAAAGCTGTCAATATTTTTTTTAATTGACCAATGTATTCAAGGTTGTTTATATATTGGAAAACATTGACGGTGCTCTTTTTGCTTCTCTGCTGTACTCTTCTCCCAGCTTCTCCCTGTACTCTTCTGCATTCTCTCTATCTACCCTTGGAGCAGATCTGAGACAATCTTGGCTTTAGCCTAGGTACATACATACCTCTTCACAAACAGTGGAAAATCGGTTAAGGAACTGAATGGTGTGAACCACATACTGGTTTAGAAATGCCACTGTTCTTTTCTGCTGGATGGCTGGAACCTACATTGAACAAAACACAACCATGCATAATATTCAGTATAATGTCTAAATGCTTCTGCCCTGTAGCTTCACGTGCAGCCTATGCATATTTAGGCAGTCCTATGAAGTCCTAAATTCCAGGGATTCCCCAGGTAGCCATGTCAGGTGTTCTGGGCTTTCTTCTGAGAAAACAGGCATTGCATTCCACCTTTACTCTTTTGTCTGCAGTCATTCACAGCATTCAGGTACATCTGCATGGCTCCTCCCAGAAGACAGTGCTTTTGAGGCTTTCCCCATTCAAAGAACCCCTGAGCCATTGCCTTGTTCGGCAAGGAAACCCTGCTTGTGTGACTGCTATGGAAGATTGCAGGACACATTTGGATGGCAAACAGCCTCATACAGGAGTACTGCTATATTACAAGGAATGAGTAGCAAATATTTCCTTTATTGATCTCACTGAAGTATTCTTAATAAGATTGCAAGAAACCCTGGGGTCTATTACATTTTTATCTGACTCATCCTTCCAAAAGCGCATAATAGGCTGCGGGAGGAGAATTGGCTTATGAACCTAGCAAGCTTCATAGCAGAGTGGGGGTAAGAACCCGAGTCAGCCTAGTCTAATACTAAGTGCATCACACCTGCTCTTTCTGGATTTCCCAGAGAAATCACTGACTCAGAGAATCAGATATTTACAATGTAAAAAATCTGAAAAACTGAGCTCATGCTGTTCCACCTATTTTGATCTATTTTCTAAACCAGCTCTGTAACATGATTATTTCAGTTCTCCCATACACACTGGAACTTTGGCTATTCTAAATCAGTTACCAAACCTTTATTAAACTGTTCTGGAACAAAACCAGAACTGAACCTGAGCCAGAGCAAAAATAAACAAACAAAATTAACAGTTTAACTACAGGGCAAGAACAGCTGATAGGATGAAGTTTTCAAAAAGTATGTTTTAGCCACAATAGTCTTAAATAAAGATCACCAGATGAGATAAACCTGACATAGGAATAGGGGGCAGACTTTAAGGTGGAAAAGAAGTAAAGGCAGGAGGAGCAAACAACCAACTCAGAGACATGCTTATGAAAAATGACCTGAACACGCCGTCATTATTTGTTTTTTGGCACCAGGCTAAGACCTTTTTATTTAAAAAATATTTTAATAATGTTTAATATCTATAGGTTTTAATTGTGCAGCCAGGGTGTTTCCAGATTTTAATTGTTATTTGTATTATGTTTATTTATGTGAGGCTATAAGCGATAGGACAGCATACAAAAACTCTAAATAAATAAATAAAATAAATTTGTACAGATTGTTTAGAAGCCTTCCAGGCATTTATGTTTAGGTTAAACAGGCTATGGTTAAGGCCTGTTAAAGAGCTGGTTAGAGCTCAATTCTATGTATGTTTACACAGGGAAAAGGCCTACAACACTGAGGTTCTCTACTCTGGATAGCTAGCTAATGAATGTTGGGAATAGTGGGCTTTTTTACCTGTCTAAACATGCATAGGACTGGGCACTTAACTGGCTTTTAAAGGAACATATCAGATGTTTGCAGCGGAAAACGCTTCCAACTTAAATGAAGGGCTTTAGAAGGCCATTTTACATGCAACTACTGGAAACCTTTGCATATCTCTTCAAAAGTAAGCCCCATTAAATTCAGGGAGGTAAGTATTCCTAATCTGCAATTCTAAGCTATTTCCTAGATTCACCCGAAGCCACCTCCACAAAAATAAATAAAATCCTTTCCAGTTGGCCTCTCCCCACCGACTAGGCTTCCTAGTCTTTCTACGGGAGACTTCACCTGCTGAATGTCTGCCTGTCAAAGATCCAGGAATCCTGTAAGGGAGTGTGCTAAGCCAGACCCCGCCTGACACAGCTCAGCTGCTCCCCGCAAACGCTTAACAGCCGAGCGGGCCACGGCGAGAGCGCCTGCAGAGGCCGCCTCCGCCTTTGCTCTGCTCTCGCTTCCCTGGTCCGAGTGCGACGGGCGCGGGGACGGCCACAGGCCTCGGAGAGCAACGCCTGGAGGGAGGCCAAGAACCTGAAGCCTCCCATACCTTGGTCAGGTCGATGCCCGAGCCTACGAGGGGCAACCCGTCCTCATCCATCCCCGGCGGCCGCCCACAGGCTCCGACAGAAGAGGACTAGCAACAGGAATCGCCTATCGGGCCCTCAGCAACCTCTCCCCCTCCGCTGTCCATCGCGACCTTTTCGCAGGAAGCGATTCCAGCTCCCGCCCCTTCACGGCGGAGAAGCCCGACAACCAAATCGTGAGACCAGAGGCTCCCGCCCGCCGGGCCGCGTTGCATCACGGGACCTGTAGTTTGAACATTCGGAAGGCCTTTTCAGCGTGGTCGCTCAGGATCATAAGAAGGGGGGAGGGTGTGGGATTGTCAGATGAAAATTTTAGAAATTATTACCTTTCGAATTAGAAATACGGTACATTTCAGCATACAGCAGAATTCTGTGACCAGGTGATCCGACCGCCTTGGTCAGCCTGCTGTCTAGTTGCAGTTTGATAGGGCCATTTCAAGTCCAGCTCATCCGTCTGATGATTACTTTTTACCGGGTTTGTACTGGACAGAACTCCAAAACAGAGGACACTTTCAATCTGGACATTTTCCTGGAAACCTCAGATAGACTGTCCTCTGTAAAAATATGATAAATGGCCATCCTGACACAAAAAGGGAAGCTTTTTTAAAAGGGGAAGCTTGGCACTCCTGATGAACAAGTTTATTGGGTAAAAAGTGACCCTAAATTAAATATAGAAATTACTATTCTAAAGGAGGCAACTTTTGCTATGGTAAGCAGTACATGAATCGACTAAATATTTATTTATTTATTATTATTTATTTAGAGAACTTCTATGCTGCCCCATTCGCCGAAGCCTCGGGGCGGCTCGCAATCATAAATAAATAACATAGTATAAAACAGTATAATTTAACAGTATAATTTAAGTTGCCCTGGCCAAAGAATAAAATAAATAAATAATATTAATTAAAATAACATTTGAATAAAAAGGTCTTTGCCTGGCGCCGTAAAACAAATAATGACGGCGCCAGGCGGACCTCTCTGGGGAATGCATTCCATAGATTGGGCGCCACCGCAAAGAAAGCCCTCCTCCGAGTACTTACCCTCCTAATTTCCTTCACGGAGGGTTCCCGGAGAAGGGCCTCTCCTGCTGATCTCAAGGGGCGGGTGGGCATATATGGACTCCTTCAGGTAACCAGCGCTCCTTCAGGTAACCAGGACCCAAGCCGTTAAGGGCTTTATAGGTCATCACCAACACCTTGAATTGGGCCCGGACTTCAATGGGGAGCCAGTGAAGCTGACGGAGGACTGGAGTCACGTGAACATAACGCCCAGTCCCCGTCAGCAGCCTGGCAGCTCTATTTTGAACCAATTGAAGTATCCGGACCGTCTTCAAGGGCAGCCCCATAACAACCTTACTTTCCCCAGACCTTTCAGCAGAAATCAGAAAAGAACAAGGAATTCCCCTTGTCTCTACAGCCTGGGATAGTTCTGTTGGTGCTCCCGTCTACTGAAGGTGCTTCATTCCTTCCAAAGTTTTCAAAGCTGCTTTGTAATAAAGCAGGCTCTTCCTCACAGAATTCTTCTTCAAAGGAGTATTTTGTCTTTTATCTTCTGTATAGTGCTTCTGCCTATTGCTTGCACATCTTTACTGTAGCTTGATCTGACAGCTTGTTCACTTTTTGGCTTTTCAACATTCCTAATCTTGGTTTGTATTTCCCATTGATTTCATGGACCTTCTGGAAGAAGTCTCTTGTTTTCTCTCTTTTGCTGTTTTGTTCCATCTCTTTGCACTGGCCATTATAATAGCCCTTTTGGTTTCTTCTGTAGTGATCACTGAAAAGTTGTATTCAGGATTTGACTTTCTGTCACCCTTTGAGTTTGTTTCTAGCATGTCGTCCTTCAGTCATCCATCTAGGCCATTTCTTTCTTTTTTGCTACAGGTTTTTTTTTTTTTTTTTTTTTTGCATCCTTCCCTAAGAATGGGCTCTGGTTTCATGCCAGAGGCCCTCTGCCCGATGGTCAGTTGAGTTCAGTAATGCAAATCTGTCCTTTATGTGGACTACAAATTCCTCAAGAATTTTATTTAAGTTGTATGTTGACACTATGCTTCTATTAGTCATCTTTTCCAGCTTTACTCTGATTTTTGCTATTAATAGTTCATGGTGACTACTTCTGCAATCTGCTCTTGTTTTAACAGTGAGAATAGAGCTTCTCTATCTTCTATTTTCAGTAAGCTAGTCTATTTTATTTCTGCAATGGCCATGTGTACACTCATCTGATCAGCTGCCTCAATTATGTATAAAAATGATATAACTAACCAGCAAGTGAAATAGTAAGAAAAAGCTGGACCCAAGCAATTTCTAGACATAATGTCACCTGGTCTTCCATAAAGGCAACAATTTTACCAACATGAACAGCTGACTAGGTGAGAAAGCAGTCCCTCCATGCTTCTCATGAATGTTCTTAGGATGTTCAAAACATATTCCAGCAAATATACCGAGGAAGAGATATGAATAAGAAATTCCATATGATGTTATCATACAGGACAAGCAAATTGAGTATAGGATTGCAAGTATACTTAATTACCTGGGAGTAAGACCTATTGAACAGAGTGAAACAAACTTGTGTGTGTAAATATGTAGTGAATACTTTTGAGGGGGACTTGGTTTACATGCAGAGATGTTTCGCACTAATCTTGTTAGGTACATACATCCTTAACTTTCAAGAGAAGTAGAGGAGTTCTGGTGGAAGACCATATGCAATGTATTTCTGTACAGGATGACAAATCTGGATTAAAGATAGAATTGGGCTCCCAATTAGCTTAGTGAAGGGTAGAGAGAGATATGGTGTTGAGGACTGGCCAGGTAAAGGGAAGGTGGCCCAGAGAGCTAAAAGTTGTGTCATGTTCTGGTCCTCCTCTGCCCATGGGTTTGATGGTTGTCATGTCAGCCTGTCCTTTTATCTGGATGCTGCTTGTAAATGCCAGATCAATGTAGAATAAAACCTCCCCTCACCCACTATCTAATTTATTGCATTTACTAGGAGTTGGACTCCAGAATTAACAGTAGTTGAATCCTTGGAACTATCCAGAGCACAGTCTGGTTCAGTTTTATTGAATGAGCTTCAGTTGGTACAGCTTGAGGATGTGGACAAGGTGCTTGGACAGGTTTGTGTAACCACATCTGTACTGGACCCTTCCCCTTCTGGCTTGCAAATGGAAAACTGGACCAGGATGGTTATCTTAAAAAGGCAGTGGTGAGACCTCTCAAGAAACCCTCCCTTGACCCAGTTAATTTGAACAACTACAGGCCAGTAGCAAATATTTCTTTCCTTGGCAAGATTCGAAAGAGAATGGTTGCCAGTCAGCTCCAGGCATTCTTGGATGAAAATGATTGTCTGGATCCATTTCAGTCAGTGTTCCGGCCTGGTTTTGGCATGTAAACAGCCTTGGTCGCCCTGCATGATGACCTATGCTGTGAATGAGATGGGGTGTGTGGCTCTGTTGCTACTGTTGGACCTCGCAGTGGCTTTCAATACCATCAACCATGGTTTCGTTCTGGAGGACTGCTGAGATGGAGGGTGGGGACTGCAGTGGTTCTGCTCCTACTTAGCGGGCTGTCATGAGAAGATGGTGCTTGGGGAATATTGCTTAGTTCCGTGGATTCTCCAGTTCCTCAAGAATCCATTCTGTCCTCCATGTTATTTAACAGCTACACGAAGCTCCTGAGTGGGGTCATCCAGAGTTTTGGAATGTGTTATCAATGTGCAAATGACAAGCAGCTATTTCTTCTTTAGATTACTCTACATGGGGCTACCTTGAAGATGGATCAGAAGCTATAGTTGGCGCAACATAGGAGATCTGAACATATAAGACCAGTTCTGGTCTGCTTGTATTGGCTGCCTGTATGCATCTGGTCCCAATTTGAGTCCAGTCTTAACCTATAAAGCCCTACACAGCTTGGGAATACATCCTGAAGTGCCTCTCCCAACCCCATTCTACCCCAACACTACACTCAACATCTAGGGACTTCCTCTGGGTGCCAAACCCTCAAGAGGCTTAGATGGTAGCAACTAGGTGGAGGGCTTTTTCTGTGGTGGCTCCCCATCTTCAGAATAACTTTCCTGCTGTGGCCTGTCTGGTGCCAAATTTGCATCTTTTCAGCACTAGGTTAAACCAGCCCTCTTTGTGGAGGCCTTCAAAGACCACCCTGGTCATTCAGATGCCTCTCTTATTCTTGGGCAGGTCTTTTTATTGTCTCTTAATGCTTTTATACTATTTTAAATTACTTTCATTCTTAATATTTTTATCTATTACATTTTATTTCAAAGGGAGCCCTCTTTGAAAGAGGTTAGGAGACAGAGTACTCAGAGAACTTTCTCTGTGGTGGCGCCCCGACTAGGGACCTAGAGAGGTCCGGCCTGGCACCGTCATTATGTGCTTTTCAGCATCAGGTCAAGACCTTTTTATTTAACCAATATTTTAAAGTTAATTAATTTTAATGATACATTTATTTAAATCATTTTAACCATGTTATTTTATACTCAGTTGTGGTGTAGCCAATTTATTTATTTTAGGATTGGTGGAGTTTTAATGTTTGTAAACCACCCAGAGAGCCCTCTGGACTATTGGGGTGGTAAATAAATGCAATAATAAATAAATAAATAAATAAATAGTTTTTATACTTTAAACTGCCCAGAGAGCTTCAGCTATAGGCAGCATTGAAATAAATAGCTTGAATTGGAAAAATTCTAGCCTTATTCTGTATGGCAGAGGCATCCCACGCAGGAAATAAATTCCCTCTCCCAATCCTATGCAACAGCCTATTGATAATTGTTTTAGTCAGTTTTATTGCATAAGATCTTACAATTTTACTGAAAAAGGCAAACACAATCTGAACAAGCCAATCAAATCAGTTCATCATCTTAGGACCTAATAATTATGCCCAGGAGGTATGCCCAACACATAGCATTAACTTCAATGCATACCATCTCTGTTATATGATAGCATCTTTAATCTCTGTTAGACAACCTCTGTTAGACAACCATCCACATTCTAGCTCAACAGCAAATGACAAAAAACATAAAAACTATGCAGAACCTGTCACAGATGATATGATTGTTGGGTCCCATTGCATATAAAAAGATGCCACTGTGAAATACTATGAATGTGGTCAAGTTGTAAAATGCTTTGGTTCAACAGCATATGTACTTGAATCCTGTCTCCTAATTATCTTATTAAATGCTTCTCTGATCAATTTATTCTTGTATTCCTAATCTACTTTTTCTCTTGCAGTTATGATACGGCAGTGGGCCTGCTCACACAGCTGTCCTGGCGTTTGTTTCTGCTCTTTGCTCACGGTGCTGTGGTGCTTATGGACTAATTTGTATAAAGATCCCAGCTGTCAATTACCTAATAAAGAGTAAAAAGCAGTACCAAAAGGGAGTGGGAACAATATCAGCCCCTTAGCAATGTAATTCTTTGGCTTTGAAGCATTGAATTGACAGCACCCTGCCATTTCAGCCCTTTCTGAATCCCCCAGAAAGGAGAGATAATAACTCTTTTTCAGAGCACTCACTGCTATGGTTATTTCATGTCTGGAACAGGCTATATATTAAGCAGTCACTAATATTATCGTTTCATTTCCTTGCATAAATCAACAATTCATTAAGTCCTGTTCAATCTTTATTTTTCATGATATATTTGGTTGTGAAGGATAGAGGTTTACGCACTGATAGATGGGTGTGATTCAGTGTTTGATTAAATGAAATTGCCCAAAAGTTAAGGTAATTTGATTTAGATCTTATACCAGTGTTGAGAATTCTTAAGGCTATTTGAAGCAAATTAGCATTAATTTTCATAGCAGTACAATCCTATACATCCATATTGAGAAATATGTATGACCACAACAAGTTAGTGAAGGTTTTTTGGATAGTCACCACTTTATTTATTCATCACATTTATATGAGACCCTCAGGGCAAAACACTTGATGTTTATCTCATTTTCCTACCTCCAAGCTAATGAGGGAAGTCAGAGAACAAGTGTGACATGCACAAGGGCTGTGGGAATGAGTAGGAACTAGAAACAGGACAGTATAAATCTAACATGTTATCTACTACATTACTCTGGTTTGCCAGTGATGGTATTAGATAGGAAGATGTTAAGTTACTAGCTTCTTATACAGACGCAAGGTGAAATCTAGCTGGTTTAATTCTTATGCACAGACTACTGAAAGAATGAATGTCGTACAGGAAAATTTCCATGTAGTTCAATATGACTTGAACAAAGGTTCCGGACATACTTTATCCCACCTAATTCTATATTTTTAGCTAGTCTGTCTGAAAGCTGAAGGAACTGTTAATTTTTCTCAGGAGAGACAGTCTGTAATGTTTTATTACAAACTCCCCCTGCTCAAAATGTCAGCTTTGATGGAGTTGGTTGCACTTGTGATTTTGAATAATAATAAAAATATCAAACATTCCATGTTTCTTGAATGTAGCCATTTGGTACTTTATTAATGGGCTAGTACATGTTAATATAAAATAATGAATGCCCCACCCCAATAACGAAGACTATTAAACATCATGCATACACGTTTACATTTCTGTCACCCAGAAATAAAGTTTATGATCTCCTCCCACGACGCACAATGGAAGTGTTCTATGCCAGGTTAAACCAGATCCTACAGATGCAGAACCAATTAGGATGGGCTGCAGAGAGAGGACAGAGAGGAGGGTGGGGTGAAGACAGAGTTTAAATATTCTTGTTATATAAATAGGGTACAACAAAACACCAAACATAAAACAATTTAAAAAAAACTGAAGGAATACTTCAGCTGATCTGCTATAAGCCAGCAAAAACTTCTTGTACTGCATTTTAATTTCAAATTGATTTCATAATTATCAGGGGAGCTTCACTGTAAACTTGCAATAAGAACCAGAACAGAATGTATCCAACCCAAATCCTGAGTAAATGGGGAACATCTCCTCCTTCCCAAATGTATTGCTGAAGATCTGGCACTACATCAGACCTCACCATCTGAAACAACCAATTCATGTTCAGTTGGGTATTTTGTCTACTACTTCTGTGATGTTAACTGTGTAAGTTCAAGGGCAAAGGGGAGTTTTTACCAAGACTCTTCTACTTAATGTTCAGAGGCTTATGGTCCGATGCTAGGGACAAGCAAGGGGTGATTCTCTTCATCATACCTTACTTGTGAACTTCCCTGGCATCTTGGGATGAGCAGAGCTAGAACTTGTATGACCCAACAAAATAAGTCTCTGTTAACCTCTGGCCAAGAAGAAAATCAGTCATGGCAGTATTTTTTTTAAACAAATCACCAACACAGATATGTAGGAGCCACACCAATTGCCACTCCATTCCTAAGTGCAATTCAAAGTCTTAGTACTATGTAATTTGGAACCCAAGTTCCTGCAAGCACAATACCTATTTTGGCTCCTACCCACAGGAGTACTGAGGCAGTGCTTGCACCCACTGGGGCTTATGTAAGCTACAGCAAGTTACTGTGCAGGCTAGAGCTACTGTGAATATTCCAGCTCTTGTTTACCATTATGTGTGAACTCAGACCAGGGAGGCTTGTTGTCATGAGTAACAAGTGACCCAGAACTCACAGGCTAAGGACTTGTTAACCATGGCAGTGAGCAACCCTGTCCATTATTCAAATGTCACAATATGCCAAGGCAACTATCTGCTGTAGCTGCAATGTCACAATGGTGGCTGGCACACACTATAACTCACCATGGCTCATTTAAATCACAGTAGGTGCTGGCAATCACATGAAGAGCCTAGTTCAGTTCTGGCTTTTTCCAGCATCAGCTTTTCTTTTATTCAGTGTGGAACTTTTATTCTTTCAGGCTTTAACATTTAGTATTTAATATGCAACTTGCTCCTTTTATCTAGTGGCCTTATAGTATCTGTTTAATGTGTGATATTATCAAACATGCATTATAATTTTAAACAAATTTTACTGTTTTATTTTGATATATACCTCCCTGGGGACCTCATGGTATAAATAAAAATAATAAAATAAAAATCTTATACCACTACTGTATGCTTTGAACATTCATTCTACTGGATTAAAAGTTCAGTACTCCACCCCCCCACCCAGTTAGTAACTCTTTGGCCCTTTAAAGTATCAGCTCACTCATTCTATTAGCTGGCTCACACTATTGCTTGCTAGAAGTCCTGCACCCTCACTATCGTAACTGCTTAAGTACATTATAACCTGAACTTAAGCAGCCCACACACGTGATGCAACATATACAATAAATGTGATCTGAAGTATACACAAGTATGGTAGTTACATTGCATTCCTTTTTGAGGGAGAAATTATGGGGGATTGGATGCACTGACTCAGACTACTCACAAAGGTCTTTTCAAGGACACTAACGGTATTTTCCAAGGTATTTCCAAGGTATTTTCCAAACCTCAGTTTCATGAGCAGTTCAAGTTGTCCAGTGAGCCACAGATGCCAGAATTTAGATGAGATCTCATGAGTGCAACAGAAAGTATCCATGCCATTTGGCAAACTGTTTTGGAAACTGAGGCAACTTCAAAAAGAGTTTGCAATATGGCGTGGGACTTCTTGTTTAAAAGAACTAAGTAACAACCAAAACCCCCTGGGTATGCCTAAGCCCTTCAGCAGAACACATCTTAAGTAGCTCTCTGGATTCCAGCCTGTGTGCTTTTCATTCCCTTTTATTCTGGCCACTGTAACTGCAGAGAGTGTTCCTCAAGATGTTCTGATAAGATGGTTTCAAAGTACATCAAGTCCACTCATTTTGAGAACACACTGGAAATGGCTAAACTGTCAGACTTTTAGAAAGAACAGTGTATAATTTGGGGGGGGGAGGAAATGTTCCTTACATTTCAGATTTGCATAAACTTTACCTGAGGGTGTCCTAAATGATGAACTAGAAGCTGGCTGGCCATTTTTCCTGGATAGCCAGTAGTAGCAAACAAGTTTTCATTGACTCTGGACCACCTAAGCACATAAAAGTCCAAACCACAAAGATGTTTAAAGAAACACTGAAATAGACTTTACAAGTTATGATCCTGACAAAGGTAAGCAATTTAGAGTCACATTGATTTCAATGCGAGAGTTAAACAAATGCTTAAATCTCTCCTGTTGAAATAACTGGGACTCAAGTGTGCTTATTTGGGTCATTCTCAGAGTGTATACCCCAACACACTATTTTTCTTTAATTTATAAGTATGACAATTAGCATCAGTGAACTGTTCATGCAGACAATGAATACTATTTATTCATTTCTGTCCTTCAAAGTGGGTCATAAATTGTGACAATACACAGACACAGAAAAGGCAAATGCACCTTTCTTGTTAAAAATAAATCTAAGCTGTATCATAGGGCCCCCTTTATTTGCCATTTCAGAATATTTTCTCAAGAGACAAACATAAAATATTAACAATTAATTCATTAATGATACACCTTCAAAGAAAATTCTCTATAATGAAATTTAAACTAAATCTAGACATATTAATATGATTTCTTAGTTTTGAAATACTAGAATTAAAACAACTCTGAACAAACAACCCAAGAGTCTTGAAGCATTTTAAAATACTAACACAGGTTCATGGAATAGAGTTCCCTTTATCAGATGCAACATTAATTTAGGACAAGACCTTACAGACACACACACATGCATGCACATGCAACAGATATACACACTGAATACCTGAATAATCTGGCTCTATCTGCATGGACAGGTCTCTTATCCAAAGGGTAACTGTAAAATAAAGTATAATGGTTTCTAAGTGATATCCACAGTTCACTTCATAAGACAATAATAATTTCTGAGAAATAATTCACAATAATTGCACTGCATTACTTCATTTTTAATGACCATGGATTGTTGCTTGACCCATTATTGGTTATCAGTGTTTTCTAAATCAGGGCTCTCATTCCATCGTAGGTTGCATTGATTGGCTGGTGAGGCAGTTGGCATGAATGGCAAAACTCATTGCTGCTCTGTGATCTTATCTTGTAGAATCACAGAACAGTAGAGTTGGAAGGAGCCAAGAAGGCCATTGGGTCCATTGCTGGTGCAGGACATCAATTTACACCTAATAGTTGTTCTACCTTGCCAACTTTTTGTTAGTGTGTTTATGAGGATGTTGTGGGGTACAAAGTCAAAAGCTTTGCTGAAGTCAAGCCAGATTATGTCCACAGTGTTTCTGCTATCCATTTGGGAGTTTACCCAATCCAAAAATGAGATTAGATTAGTCTGACAGGAATTATTCTTGAGAAATCCATGATGGCTTCTATTAATTACTACATTTTCTTCAAGGTGCTTGCAGACTGATTTTTTAATATTTTTAACTAGCTGTTGCCAGTAACGGTCCCTCTACCATTGAAATGCCTCTGCTTTGCCACCTTTTTGTTTGTTTGAAAATTGTACAACTATGTCTTAAAAAATGTTTTGCTGGTTCTTTGCAAATATGCCCTTAACAGCTGTTCAAAATGTATAGTTTTTGTTAATGTCCCTGTAAGGTTCAGCTTTCAAAGGGAAGTCGAGCAGGTACAAGATTTAGAAAACAAGCCTGAATGAAAAGGGGAAAAGACAGCAAAAGTGCACTAAAAGGGGATGGCGAGAATATAATCACCTTAGCAACAGAATCCTCTGGCGTTTAGCTGTAATTCCTCCCTTTCCTCCACTATTTCAACACTTTCCCATGTTTCTATCTACTACATAAAGGGGATATATTAATTTCCCCTGATTTTCAGAGCATTTATTGCTGTAGTTTCTATTGGTTCTACAGCTGAATGGGACCTTTTAATGGTGTTCCATTTGCGGGAATGTACTGTAAGTACCACTTGCAACCAATGTTCCATCCTGTTTTACCACCTCAAAGGGTTTTTGTTTAAACTACTGGAAACATTTCCAGTTTTGGATTAGGAAATACATAAAAACTTAGTAGTTGAGAAGTAAACAGGAGAAACTTATGCTAATATGAGGGGAATGCAGTAACAGAGCATGCATTTCCTTACATACTCTGTTTCTACAGTTGATACCCAGGAGATTTATTTCATTTTTGCAGTCCAAAGAAATGCTCATTTTTTAGAACTGAAAGAGACCCATAGTAAGGAGGAGTTAATAGCTTCCCTTTCTCTAATAGCCAGAAACTCTGGGAAGTGTTGAAATTTTAGAGGACAGTGAAAGCTGTCAGGTCAACACTTAAAAGCCAGGCGATTACATTGCTAAGGGTGTAATATTGTCACCACTGCTTTTGGTGTTTCGAATTTTGCTGCTTTCCTTACTTTACTTTTCAACTCACACCTAGGTAATTAACAACATGCAACTGTGCACAAATTAGCCTATATGCCCTTTCTCCTCGTCAGCTTCCATGTACACTACCTACTCCATTACTCCCTTTCACAGCTCAAACTTGCAAAGCCATTGACAAGGAAAGATTAACCATATTAGAGACTGGGTAAGTGTATCCTTCTGTACCCACACAAGAGCAACAAAATAAATAATAAAATTACAGTGCTCTACAATTTCTGGGGGAGAAAAAAGCAAAGGGAAGCAAAGCAAAAAGCAAAGCTCTGACTCCAGTTGCAGTTCTCTGAAGCTCCTATAAACAAACACCCTGCTGGTGAAAGAAAAGGGAGAGCAATGGGGGCGGAGGGAAGACAAGATGTGTTCTCTGCTGGGAAGGACAGTGGAACACCAGCTGAAAGACTGAGAAGGAAGAAGAGGGAAGAACAATGTATGAAAAGCAAAACTGCCAAGTGGTGTATTCATGGGTGGCTTAGTGTGAAGTGTCAACTTGGCCAGTTTGGTTTGTAACAGCATCTGATAGAGAGAAGACGAAGCTGGAGATTAAATTCATTCGATCAGGAGGAAAAGAGGCCATGATGGTTTCTCCCAACCCATGACAGGCATGGGTTGCTGTGTGTCTGAACTCTGTGATGGCAGCTTCCAAATCACCCTGAAACCCTAGAATAAGGTATAGTTTGAAAGTCACACCCACTGCCTAGCAGTAGGTAACATGTCAACCTGTTTCTGGCATAGGTTATTATGGAAATGAAGTAGCACATGTAGGACAGGGAAAAGAAGCTAACATGGCTACTTTTCCTTCTCTGATAATGAGAACCTGGCCACAAATGCCATTTCCTAGACATTGCTGAACCCCCCTTTCATTTTCCTTGCATTTGTACCCTTTCTTTTATTTGATTTGTTGACCATATAGCTTGCATTATGATTTAAATCTTTTGTACAGATTAATTTGTGGTGTTAAAAAAATCTTCAAACATCCTACTTTAATGACAGGTAATTAAACAGAACACCTTAAAGGTGCCATCTTATGTAAGTTTACAGAAAGAAGGCCTACAGCCTCTAGCATGATCCAGCAAGCTATGTCTAAATTTGCACATGATTGTGCTGTAGTGTTTGTAAGTAGCAAAGGCGTTTGTAAGTAGCTATACCTAGATCGAGTAATGTCCCAGATGAACCAGTCATTTCCTGAAACTGCTCCAACTTTAAACGTATTTTTTAAACACCAGCATGCTGACATCAGTGGTGTTTGATCCGTTGTAAGAGACAAGACTGCCTGATGGGTTACAAGATCATAGAATCTTATTGTTCCATTCTTCTCTGCAACCATCAACTAGAACAGAAAAATAACAGTGAATTACAATAACTCTTGGGAAATAGCAAATACTAAATCTTTATTTTTCTTTCTAGTAAACCTGATACCCTAGTATTGACAGCACTGAGTAAAACTGAGAATTGTTCATGCATCGTGTACTCCAGACCCTTTAATATATAGGCAATTTTCATGTGTATATTAAAAGGTGTGGAATTCTAATTAAAAACAAGACAGGGCATCACAGATGACATGAGGCCATCATAATAATTCAAATTAGTACAATGTACCACAAAGAGAAAAGAAGAATTAGAAATATGTGCAGAGCCAATAACTGAAGCACACAATCTCATTCAGCAGGTCATAAAACATACATCTATACAGCATCTTATCAAGGGATGAAGCATTCATAAAATTAGATTTTTTTTCTAGCCTGTCTTTAAAATTACCAGTTTGGCATACACTAGTTAAATTTACTGTTCTAAACACTTAAATTGTTTTCTGTTAACACAAATACTGATATTCTGATGCTATAGACTCAAGACATCATCTGAGGGGTCAATAAAATAGTTCAGTTTTCCTCTTCTGAGGCTGGAGACAGCACTCTGACCTCAGGGGAAGGAGCTGGAGATCAGAGAACTTCCCTGCTGGTGTAGAAAGAACCTTGTGAGCTGCTTGCAGACATTGGAGAAACAACCTTGTAGAGAGGGAAAAGAGGGCTTTTTGGAGGGCAGGCATGACAGGAGTCTGGAGAAGTCAGTACACAAACTACTCTGAGGCATTTCAAGCTTCATGCCAGCTAGACAGGAAAAATGCAGATATAGCAAAAAGTGAAACATGGGTGGATGAGGAGGTAAAGACTGCCTCCCACTTTGTACAGGATGACCAAAAGTGTCCAAGTTCATGGGCTTGCAGTCACTGGAGGTCAAACTGACAAGATAATGCTTTAAGATAACTAGGTAAGCTGGGCATAGCCTTTAAAATCAATGGCTCACCCTGAATTCCACCTGTCAACATTAATGCTGAAGTATATAGAATTTTTCTTCTATAAACCTCCAAAGAGCAAGAGGAAGATCATATTTCCTCTGAACATGGGCAAGAGGTGAGGCCAGTCATGTCTACAACTTTTCTCTGTGCTGGGCTTTGGAAGCATCCAGAGTATCTCTGAAGTGCAGGATAAAGTCAGAGACAAAACTCTACCTCCCCTTAGCTTGAAACTTGGAGAGAGTGGTAAGTTTATATGTGATTTTGTGATGCACTTTAGAAATATTTCAGCTGCCTCCAAAGTGTGGCAGGAAGCTGGAGATGAGATCCTGCCCGTGTGTCCACTATGCATGCCAGCAGCCTCAGAAAAGGATCAGTGATGCCTACAAGTACTGCCTGGTTTTCTAGACAGCAAGGTTTAGTGGACCCCATTTTTGGCCTAAACAGAAAACTGTGTAAATATATATTCCATTTATTTCTGTCCAAGTACTTGTACATTTTGGATCAGCTTTGCTGTCAAAGATAAATCAAGGCATTCTGTTGTGTCAAGATGAAAGCCTAAGGTTGCTCTGATTCTTAAAGGATGCAGAAAAGTCTTTCAGAAATGAGTTATCCCAAACTGGTTACAGAGCAGAATGATAGCTCTGAGAGGCATCTTTAGGGGCTTCTCTGCTCTTCATTACTAATGATGGTCCCAGCTGTTTTATTTAATCATTTATTATTTCCATTTGTATGCTGCAACTGTAGCTCATAGCTGAACTCCCTGAGAGGCTTACAACAATTTAAAAAAAGTACAATCAGTAATGCTAAAAACAACCCCAAAATATGAATACAAACCATAACCAAGCAAATTAAGATCATTACATAAATATTTCAAGTAAACCATTTTAAAATAATGTAAACTAAAAGAAAACCAGAAGCCAGTGTTAAGTTAAAATCAAAATTACCATTAAAATCAACTGCTAAAACAGCTGGCGAAAAGAAATGTCTTGGCCCGGCACTGAAATGATAGCAGAGATGGAGCCAGGGGTTCTTCTCTGGAAAGCCTGCTCCAGATAATCAGTTTTATTGATCATCAGGTCATTTACGTTCTGAACACATTCTTTTTACCCAGGTCTACCTCAAGGGAACATATGTGGTTCTCTCCCAACCATTTTATCTCCCCCAAAGTCCTGTGATGTATTGTTAGGTTAGGAACTAGTGGCTGGCTTAAGGTCACTCGAGCTCCATGTCACTCAAAGAACATAATTGCCAAGTGGGATGTGCAAATGGCTTTCTCTGCTCCACGTCTAACTGTATTAACTGCTATGCCTCTCTGGTTGCTGTTCTAAAATGAATAGGAAAATGGTATAAGTTTGCTATTTCAGTCTACTTGAGAATACTCTTGGAATTCAGAATGGCTTCAGATTCTGTACCCTACTGCTGTACCACCAGATAGTTTCAGGTTTGACTAAGGAAGAGTTTACCTGTAGGATACTAACCTTGAATGCATCTTCAGGATGCCAGCCAACACTCATTCCTGGAGAACGCAGAACAAAGTAAGCTTTCAAATTCCCTTCCAAGTCCCATATTCTAAAACAAGGAATATCCATATTTAATTTCAAGATACAGAACCATCAGAAAGGCAAGCAGGAGACTTGAAGTTGCCCATTGGGTTAGCACCTGGGCAGCAAACTCAGAAGGTTAAAGTGCCTGCCCCTCTCCCCATTAGAGCTGTATTGTACATCTCTACATCTATTTAAGCAACCACTTCTAAATGGGCATTTATACATGCAAATTAGCTGTCAATTTTATGCAGATTTATGTCTTTGTGGGAATGCAGGTCACCCTACCTCAAATAAAAACAAATACAATAATATCAAACTAATGCCAATATGAAAAATAAAAATGATACAGTAAATCTATGCACAGGATCAATACAGGAACATAGGGATTTGGAGCACACCACCACCGCTGCTGGATGCTGTCTGAGCAGCCACAGGCAAAACTGAAGCCCCAGATTCAACCTTGAAGAAGCATTCCAACATCAGAACTGGGGCTGCATTTTCAGTGACTACTCCCCTCCACCTCTCAACTGGCATAATCCCTTATATGCTGGCTGTGACCAAAGTGGGCACGGGGGAAGGTTCCAGGGGGAACATGCAAGGTTCTGCTGGCACACAAAACAAGCCAGTGGTACCTCAGCCCCTCCTCCTCACAGGCAGAAGCAATATGCTTTGCCAAGACTGTCCATTTAAGCATTTTCAAGGACAGGAGGAATGCTGAGGCAGCCTTGCAATCACTTTCCTCCCTCCTTCCAGTGGGTGTCTCTTCTGAGTTCAAGGGTTTATGGAAAAACACACTGGGTGATGCTCTTTGAACAATACTGAATTCATTATCAATAAATTACAAAAAAGAGTAACAACATGCAACAAATACTTCAGTCATATATTTTCCTGTAGCCCAAGATCTAGGATGTGATTCTAAGAGAGAAAAAATGCTATATGATAATATTTGAGAACAGAAAACAGACCAACCATCTCCTGAGATTCTTGGTAGCGGACACAGTATAAAAGTTTTAAATAAATAAATAAATAAATATCATCCACTGAATACTTTGGTTAATAAAGTTGATGGCTTTAAGGAAAGGATGGAAGGGCATTACATGCCTTTCCTGCCTTTGAGCATTCCAACTGTTTTTGTTAAAATTTGGTGGCATTTTGGTTGACTGATGTATAGGGGGCAGGGTGACTATACAATTTAATCTTTAGCTCATAAATACCAAACAGAACACCAGTAAGTGTTGCACTGAGTTCAGTTCTCACCAGGATAGGGAAAGCTTGTAATATAATTCAGAAAACACTTGTGAATAAATGGTATCACAAGTCTAGACAAAATAGAGGTGAAAGAAAATAAATACAACTTATTAATATATGAGACTTTTTCTGCCTTTTTCTGTTTCTGCCAAACCTCCACAGAGCAAGTATTTATTTTTCCTGCTCCTAGGAACTCCAAATTTGGAGAGATCAGTATTCTTAATTTAAAAACTTACATGCTATGTGAAAACAAAGAATATCTATCTGATTAGGTAATTTACAGACAAAATTGTTTCTTCTGCTGCCAGAAATTTTGCCTTGTAGATCTTTCCAAGTTAAATCAACACTTTTCCTGCATGTGTGTTTACTACGTTGGGAAAAGGAACATAGTACAATTCAAGATGGTGAATCATTTTGGCCAAAGAAGTCATGCCTCCTTCCCAAAGGCAAAGAAACTGAGACACAGGCAGTGACAGAACTTTTTATCTATTCCTCTTATTTGATTTCTAATGCCCATATCTACTTTATGTTTTGTTGAAATAGTAAGACTGTGCTCAGTAACAGAAAGTACCTGAGAGCAAAATATAGTTCAACATGGTTTACTGCCCCTTGCCTCCCCATAATGTACTGCCCGGGCTGCTTCAAACGTTACATGTATTGCACAAAAATTATTTCTACAGGAGGAAAAGATGGAAAGAGAAACACATAACCTTTAGATGTGTGTGCAGTCCCCACATGCGCACTAATAGATGGCCTTCGGTATGCCACTGTCTCTTTGCCTTAGTTGTTCTCCATTCTGCAATATGGGGAATAACACTGGTCGCCCTGACAAGCTAATTATAGACATTATAAGATAAACCTGATTCACATGTGGTAAAAACCATAGTTAACCATGGTTTGTTGAAATGTGGGTTGTGGCTATATGTGAATTTAGAACTATGGGTTAACAATGACCTATTAACCATAGGCAACCTATAAAGAGAACCTGTTATCTGTTGTTGGGTTGCAAAATGGTTTGTTCTTATGTGCAAATTCAGAATCTTGGATTGTTTTGCCAGGCTATGGAAGCAGCAGGCAGGATGGTCCACATAACATGAATTGTGAATTCTTTTGATTTAATAAGAAAAAACAAAGGCAGTATTGCTGTCATCTTTTACATTTAGTCAGCATCATCTTCCATATATAGACGGATTTTTTTTTGGCCAGAAATTTGTTATTTTCTGGCCAAAATGCTTCCTTTGCATGGAATTAAGTTCTCGGATAAGATAAACTATATTAATAATTAAATCACCTATTCAATCACATTCTCCCTTTTCATTACACAAAAACCAGCCAAAGTTCACATAAGCAGGCAAAGAGGAATGTAATCAATTAGTTGCTCCAACAAACTAATAGGAGGTACTATAAAAGAAAGCTGATGAGCATTTGCTTTCCTTAATTTGTTTCTTTCTGTAACCCACATGTGATATAGCAAACAACCCAGGGAATGAGAAAAGAAACCATGATTTGTTTGATCATCTGTCAGTCAAACTCTGAGTAAGGCAACAAATAATTATTTAACTAAACTATAGATAGTATTATGGGCAAACTAAGAGTTTAGACTATGACTTGATTCATACATAGCAAAAACTCAAGGTTTAATTGGTTGCTGCTTTACCCAGAGTACTGAAATCCCACAATTCAACCATCCACACCACAGGTTGTTGTTACATTCAAATCAGGTCTATGTGATGCTCATGCTTCTGCATCAAGGGATTTCCCAAACTCAGTCAAAATATATCCTAAGGATGCTCCACATAACATGAATTCTTTTGATTTAATAAGAAAAAAGGAAGGCAGTACTGCTGTCATCATTTACGTTTGCCAAAAAGACCAAGCTAAGCAATAATAGGGAAGTATTTTCCAGTTTATAAAATTTCTCCCCAAGTTGAACTTGGATGGGAGCAAATGTTGACTAACTGTCTGGACTTGAGCATTCTGTCAGCATAGTTTTATTCTTCATTTGGTACAGATCTCTGCCCAATGTGTTTTTATTGCTTAAAAAAATGACTCCTCTCCCCTTTCCTCTAAGGATTTCGCTTACTGATAATGTCTTTCTTACCCCATCAAAAAGTTTATACTTCAACTGAGTTGCAGATGGAAACAAATAAAAGAAAGCAAATGATCAACATTTAAATTGGTTGGATCTGCTATCTGTTTCTAGCATGAACTGACCATATTATTTATTTACATATATTTATAGGCTCCTGTAATTGCTGAGGCCTTCCTAGGTGGCTTACAAATTATTAGTCCTGTTTCCCTAGTTATTTGAACTGTACCTGTTCTTTGTACTATTAAAGAGAGAAGATGACTGAATTATACACTATCTTAACTGAGAGCTTAATTCCTTCCAAATGAAGCATTACAAAAACAAAACCCAAACAACCCTGCCTAAAAAGACCCGTATATGGAATATGATGGAAACCACTGTAGGTTATCAAAACGATAAAATATTACTGATCATTTATATTTAATTATATTTATATAATATACAGTGGTACCTCTTTGCATATACAGGGGTTCTCTTTGCATGTTGTTTGTGGTTAACCAGCTATTGTTAACTGGATTTGCATATAAGAACCTACACTTCAACAAATCATGGTTTGATTCTTGTGAGGTCATTATGGGAAGGTTAATATGGGAAGTTAAAAAGTGTAAAAATAGTGAAATGTTTTAGAAGCAGACACAATTAACTGATTACGCAAATACTAAAGATTTTTCTGGACATTCTATCGCAGATTTGTATACTGACAACCCACCCTGTTATCTATGGCAAGAAGGACTCGCTTCTCAATGACCAAGCAGGAAAGACTTGGTGAATTTGCTGTGTGGTTTTTTTTTTAATCTGTCAGGCCACAAAACAACTAAATTATTTACTAACCTTTTCTATCTGACAATAAGCACCCAAGGTAAGGCTGAGAAAGAGTCCATACACATGAAGTATACATCTGCGTAAAATACATCGTTTACTGCTTTGGAGGCAGGGGCACAAATGGTGTTAAAATATCCTATTCTTTGTCCTTAGATGATACAACTTGCTGTTATTTAAAGGAACTAAAGCATCCACAGCAGAAACCAAGGCCATTTAGCCTCCTGGAGGCAGGGCTTTTCCTCACAGAGGCAGCTGTACCTGTTCTAGGTAGCAACTGTCATTAAGGATGACATTGGGGCTATCATACAACAGTCCACTGCAGGTGGCTGCAGCAATGCAGGGCATGTGTGGCCTCCATTGTGATTATGCAACACTCACTTGGCTTTAGGCTGTCCCTTGCATAACCCACTGGGTTCATGTGACACAACAACCTGTACATGGTAGCTGCATACTCAACTTGTTGCCCACTGTATGTTACACCATCTGCCACAAGCTGTCATTGGACAGTTAATGATTCTCCTCAGTCCTGAGACCTTACCATGCCAACTGCCCTTTCAGCATAGCTATTTGCGAGTAGCTGGGCTATTAAAACTTTCTATGGGTTGGTAACTTGCTTACTTCTTTGCAAGATTTCTACACTGTTTTAATTAAATACAGAAAGCTTCTTTTAAACATAAGAAGAGGAACCAACTTGTAATTATCTGGGTAATGACATTGTATACAGACAAAATGCATAATAAGCTAATATATACTATACATGTTCTTTAATATTCCCTTCATCCTAAGCTAAATTTTAAACAAAATGAACTTGATTCTAATGACCCTAAAATTTTTTATGGCCCATTTTAAAATCAAAATCCAACCAAACAATTCATTTTTAAAGCATTTGTAAGCCAAAGATAGGCATTTCTTAGAGACATTAATAATGATAATCAGCAATTACTCGGCACGTGTTGAGAACAGTTTCTTAGAAGTACAATTGTGTAAAATGGACACACAATTGAACTCCAACTTCGCAGGTTTAACTTTTGTGGATTTGATTATTCTTGAGTTTACCATCAATGAGTAAATGGGATTTTTTTTTTAGTTTTGCAACCAATTGCCTACTACTTTACAGACAGCCACAAGGGGAATGTTCCCTTTCCTGACTGCTTCCATGGCACACCTGGAATGGTGTGCCGCCCCGCAGTGAGGGTGGGCACTGCACGGAGGACCGAGTGTGTGGTCACATACAAGAGTGGCAACAGAGAATGAGCTGCCCTGGAGCAGGCTGCGCCCGACTCATTGGGTCTTGTTTTAACATTAAGCAACATGTAAATAAATAAATAAGCAAGCAGTTGGTTATTCAAATTGTGAAAGAGGTAAGTGTAATGCAGCTACCAGTACACTTATGGTCGATAGTATTAAGAGTTAAGGTTTTGGAGGGTGGCTAGAGATATTCAGTTTTTCCACTTTCGTGGGGGTCCTGCAGCCCCTAACCCCCGTGAATGTGGAAGACTGACTACATGATATTTTAATGAATGCCTACTTGATTATGCTAAATTATCAGGTTTTCAAAAGCTATTCTGTAGATACTATAGCAAAACATGAACTTTCATATTGTTCAGCTCTTTGTAATGATTAAGTGCTAAAAAAGAGAAAGAAATAACATCTGTAGGACATACAACAAGTGGGCAGGAACATGGTATCCAAGGAACAGCCAATATTTTCCTTATGTCGTTGCCTTTAATCTTACTCCAAATCCTCCGTAGTAAAGTATTACACTACAAAATAGCTACATTGGTGAGTATCATATGAGTTCAGGTTTTTCAAGAGAGGGGAGTGGGGAGAGATTAAGGTTGAAATGCAACACTAATTTACCTGGAAATAAGACTAACTGAACTCAGAATAAACCAGCACAGATAACCATTAAAAAACAAGGCATTTATGTATCCTAAACATGGTAGGCAATTGTCCTACATAGAAGGAGGTATATGATTCTGCTAGTAAAACATACAACATAAATGTTCTTAGGTAACTAAAATATTCTGTTACTGAAATTAATATTCCTGCAATAGTAGCCCAATACCTTGGCCTGTAACTTTGCACTACACAGCAGCTGGCACATTCCAGTCTGCACATTTACACAGCCTGAGCAAATCTTAGGATAAGCCAAGTTATTTTTCTTAAACTTTCGAACTATTTTGAAACAGTACTTTTAACATAGTTTTCCCTGGTTCCATCTCTGAAATAATAGTAAATGAAGGACAAGGGAGAGGTGAAAGTCTGATGAAAGCTGAGTATAAGAAACATAAACCACTGAATAAACCTCAGCCAAACAGTCCCAGAACAACAGCTCTTGGCAGAGTCTGCAGTGAGAAGAGAAAGGGGAACAGAGGGCTGGAATACTGCTCTGCTTTCCTTTCTTATAGTATGTAGCCATCCTAATTGTGTGACGAACAAATAGAGCAAAGACAAATGGAGAGTGGCAAAACATCTAGAGAAAAGAAATAATCATTCTGCAAAGTGCTAAAATGTTTTCTTAACATGTGGAACTTATGACATGGCGAAAAATGCTATGAACAGTGAAACAAATGTGCTCATTCTAAGCAACTTGTAGGCAGCAATATTAATCAACCAAGATAATTCTACCCTTGCAAGCCAAGCACTGAAATGGCATATACTTACTCATATTCAAGAAAACATTTGCAGCCTATCAGTGCTATTATATTCATGGACTGCTTGTGGATTTCCCATAGGAATCTGGTTAGCCACTGTGGGAACAGAATGCTGGCTTCACTATATGTTGGGAGTACAGAACCTCAGGCAGGGGGGTAAACTCTAGCCCACTGGGACACCTCAGTCAGCCATGTCCTCTTTCTCTGGCTCCACCCTTTCCCCCCTAACCAATTATCATTTGGCAGGTCTTCATTTTTATGCAGCTTTTCCCCCAGTCGGAACGGACGTTCTAAGGCTGAGTTACTTGTAACAAGACCTTTAAATTAAAATATTTGGAGGAAGGGTTGTATCTTAGCCCCACTCCTGCCTTCAGTCCCATATACCATTAGAATGTGCTCCTCAAGACCTTCTCCAAAACTGAACCCAGCCCTTTGGCTAAAAGAGTTTCACTATTTCTGCTATACATAAATCTTAGCAGTATCATCCATCATGATTTGATGGTAAAGTCTTTTTTTCTGTGTAGAAATCAAATATAGGATGGCTACAAGGACTAGTGTAAGGGTCTCCAACATGACATCCACAGGGAACTGTCATCTCACTGCCCCTTTCAAAGGATTATTTTTAATAAAAATGTGAAATCTTAGGGAGCCTGGTTCTCCTTCCTGTTCCTGAACCTGCAAATCAGCAGGCAGGAATAGAGGGAAATAACTAGTTCCTGGACCCATTCAATCTTCTGTCCCCCTTCAAGCTGTTCCCTTTTATTCTCTTTCTGTCTTTCCATTCCCAACCTCTAGCCTTGCCCTTTCTCTCTTCCCCATCCTTATTCCTCTTTTTTCTTCCCCCTTCTCAGCCACTAGGCTTGTTCTTCCACTCACCCTTTTATCTTTCTGTTTCTCTCTACTCTAGCCTAGCTTTTTTACCTGCACATCTTTATCTCTGTTCCTCCCCATTCCTAACCTCAGTCATTTTTTCCCTTCTACTGCTTTCTCTTTTTTTCCCTTTCTTCCTCCCAGCCTCTAGTCTCACTATTTCTCCCCCTCCATTCCTTTTAACTGGCCACCTCAACCCCATGGCAACAATTATGTGACTAGTCAAATCTTCCATGGGAGCTATTTTGTGATGGTGCTCATAGTAGTTTCTTAAAATCCCAAATGTGCTAAGGGTCCATAAAGGTCGGGGCACCTAAAATAGTGTCCATAAATTATTTGATCTGTGAACTTATAGAAGCTTCAAATCCTTCTCACAGCAAAACTTTATACTACATAGTATATTTATAGAATATTGAGTCAACCCCTTAATTTACATGCTTAAAATTCTACAGTTCCATGTTTTTCCTTTCCGGTTTTGGCAGAGGCAAACAGTAGTTAGGAGAGTTTCTTTAAGTATTTTAAATAAATAAAAACAAATGGCTTTTAAAGTGATGCACACAAAGTTATATATGGCCAGTATTTTTAAAGTAATTTACAGAGAGCAAGGCGAATTTAGCCGTAGTCTCTGTAAGCAATCCTATGAAAGATTGTACTGTGCTACAAATACAATTGTATAGGCCATGTTTTGGGAACTGTTTCAATTCCCCTTTTAATATTTATAGGCATACAAAGTTAAATTCACATTTGGTTAACAGAATACATACCTGCAAGTGTGAGTGACGACCACACTTGCAATTTCTTGACCATCTCTAGGTGAAAATACCAAATCATTAATGTAATCTGAATGACCTTCTAAGACCTGTTGAGAGAAAGGGGATAAATTAAATTACAAAATTTAGAGAAGAGGTAGTATCTCTGTATTGTCTGAGTGAAATCAGCAAAATTAACACAATTCTGGTGTTTTTAGGAAGAGTAAGTTGAAGATTTACTTCTGCTTCATTGACTATGCTAAAGCCTTTGACTGTGTGGATCACAACAAATTGTGGCAAGTTCTTGAAGAGATGGGAGTACCAGACCATCTTATTTGTCTCTTGAGAAACCTATATGCGGGTCAAGAAGCAACAGTGAGAACTGGACACTGAACCACTGATTGGTTCAAAATTGAGAAAGGAGTTCGGCAAGGCTGTATACTGTCGCCCTGCCTATTTAACTTATATGCAGAGCACATCATGAGAAAGGCAGGGCTAGATGAATCACCAGTTGGAATTAAGATTGCTGGGAGAAATATCAACAACCTCAGATATGCAGATGATACCACTCTCATGGCAGAAAGTGAAGAGGAACTAAAGAGCCTCTTGATGCGGGTGAAGGAGGAGAGCGCAAAAGTTGGTTTGAAACTCAACATTAAGAAAACTAAGATAATGGCATCCAGTCCTCTCACTTCCTGGCAAATAGATGGGGAAGAAATGGAGGTAGTGACAGATTTTATTTTCCTGGGCTCCAAGATCACCACAGACGGGGAGTGCAGCCAAGAAATTAAAAGATGCTTGCTCCTGGGGAGGAAAGCTATGGCAAAGCTAGACAGCATACTAAAAATCAGAGACATCACCCTGCCGACAAAAGTGCGTATAGTCAAGACTATGGTTTTCCCAGTTGCAATGTATGGCCATGAAAGCTGGACCATAAGTAAGACTGAGCGCAAAAGGATTGAGGCCTTTGAATTGTGGTGCTGGAGGAGACCCCTGCGAGTCCCTTGGACCACAACGTGATCAAACCAGTCAGTCCTAGAGGAGATCAACCCTGACGCTCTTTAGAAGGCCAGATACTGAAGATGAAACTCAAATACTTTGGCCACCTAATGAGAAGGAAGGACTCCCTGGAGAAGAGTCTAATGCTGGGAACAATAGATGGCAAAAGAAGAAGGGGATGGCAGAGGATGAGGTGGCTAGATGGAGTCACTGAAGCAGTTGGTGTGAGCTTGGATGGACTCTGGAAGATGGTGGAGGACAGGAGGGCCTGGAGGAATGTTGCCCATGGGGTCGCGATGCGTCGGACACGACATCGCGACTAACAACAAGTTGAAGATAAGGAAATAACTTATTAGGGAAATTTGCATCCAAATATAATTTTTCAAATCGGGATCAATACCTGAAAATTTAATGCCATCTGGTACAATACCCTCTCAAAAGAATACATTGTTATTATCTAAAAGCATATGATCCAGCTTCCTCAAGCTAGCGTTCACACAAAAATATACTTTAGCTTATTCTAACCTTTCTTCATTACAGCAATGTACTTGGGAGTGTTCGCGTGTGTGACATTTTGTTGCTGCTATAGTCAAACAACTCAAAATCAGAAACCTTTGCAGATATACTTCAGGTAATCTAGATAGTACTTCTAGATCTGCTTTTTGCCTATCCCGACTTCAATGAGACATAAAATGTGATTCTATTTCAATGTTCATATTTGCATCTATTTTAGATACAACAGTTCCTATTTAATTGAAAATGAAATCTGTACTTTTCAACATTCTGCTTAGATTTAGTATAAAATGGCTTCACTTTGCAAGAGCACTCATTTGATGTAAAAGTATTCACCCAAATGTTTTAAATGTTTACAAAGCATACACATCTCCTTAAAAATACCATCCTAACAATACCATCACTTAAAAAGCAAGTTAACAGCACAATCAAATATGTGTTTACTCAGAAAGAAATTTCATTGAGTTCCATGATACTTATATCCAGATTGTAGCCCTGGTGAATATACAAAATAGTAGGATACATTTATATTATACTAATTTGGGTTTTTTTTCTCACTTTATATTCATCCTTTTCTTGTAGATCTGATGTGAATAATCTTAACTTCCTGTCAGCAGCCGCAGTACAAAACCTACAGTAATCAGAAAAAATATATAAAACAGATTTACTAATCTCATACTTTTGAAATACAAATATGTATTGCTGAAGATGTATTTCTTTCTCAAAGTATATTCATGTTACTTATTATGGAATAAAAATTAAAAAAAATCTCTCTGAATGGATGCATTAAATCAAAGCCAGGCAGGAACTTCTCATTTGAAGAAAATAATACTATAATACTTGGTCTTCAACTAAAAAGGCATCAATAGTTACTTACATGTAATAAAAACAAGGCCAGAAAAGCTCCTGCCTGCAGGCTTACAATCTAAATTACATAACACAAAAATGATTGTCCAACATATTTGCTTACTGAAGTTCTCCTAGCTGACTCAGCTTTAGCTTGATATACTGAGAACACAAAAACTGGTACAACACCTTAGGAGGTAGGAAGGGAAACACAATCACCCCTGCTGACCAGCATTCTTAGACTCAGCAGCATAATACAGTGTCATGCCAAACATATGAGCAGGTCTTCTCTGCTTCAGATCACTATAGGAGTGCCATTCATACAGCAGATGTGACCTTACATTTCTGTGTTGTCCAAAAGCACAGCATAGCACAGAGGAAAGAATTGTTTCTGTCTCTCTGGTCTGGCAGAAATTTATAGTCTGAGATGAATTAGACAGCTTATTAAAATAAAACAAAAGGTACTTTGGCAAATTCCTTCTCTTTCCAAATTGATTGCCTTGCTGCTAAAAGTAGGTTGCTGCTGCTACTTTTCTGGATGACTTTTTTAGACTTAGCAAATTATGATGTGGCACTGTTCCACAAAAGCAATTTCAATGCTTGGATAACACAGAACCATTATTTCATCCCATTGCTCTCCACATTTCACTATTCTGACCACAGAATTGAAACAAATAAGCAAGCAAAAGGTACTTATATAAAGTACCTCATTTCATTTTAAGCTTACAAAGGCTCCCTCATCACAAACATCCATTTACAGACTTTTCACAGGAAGAGGTTTTTCAGGCTCCAAATCTTACATACATTTACCTGGGAGTAAGAGCCTTTTAACATAGTAGGATTTACTTTTGAGTAGACATACATATGATGGCACAACACCCTTTAACTTTGCTTTTTAGATCAACATAATAAAAATGACCCAATCTTACAAGTAAAATTACCGTATCTGGGGAGGTAAATTATCAAGTCTGGTCTCTGGACTCCATACAATGGCATCAACTCTAATCCCATGATGAAACATCCTTAGTGTTTTATACTGTATACCTTCCACTTCTGCATCCTCCTCCTACAGAAATATGTAATGTTTTGATAAGCAAAGTAGTAATAAAACATGTTTCCTCTCTGTAATATTTTGTAAAACTTATAAATAAGATGGTCCTTGACTAATTCTTTTGGAGTTGTGCTACATAGTGCTGTTGATTCTTTGTGCCTCCTCCCTCCTTCACAAAGTCATGTTTCTATATTAACTCTTCAGGGTATTAAGGGTGGTGTCCTATGCATATTTACCAGGAAGAAACTCTAAACTCTAAAGGACTTATTTCTTGGTTGATTTATTTAGAATATAGCTATAGCAAAGCCTCTTTGTATAATGAATCTATGTGAAGAATCTTATGGAGGCCAGGCTGGGTTTTTCCAAGCTTCCTCTCATTTTTAACCTATCATCAGTCCAAACTATGCTCATATCAGGATTGGTGGAATCCTATCAGTATAGGAATCAAAATGTGAAGGAAAGCAGATCAGAAAATCTGGCAGTTCAGTGAGTTTTTCACAGGACTCTCTCCTGAAAAATCATTGTTAATCAAGAATAAATTTCAGTACATAATCTATACTTCTTAATCATTAGGGTATTTGAACTACAGATTTTAAATGTAGCATGTCACCTTGAATATATTTGAGCACAGAGATTGTATATAGATTATATATATAACCATACATTCTAATCATTCTGAGTAGCTATATATAAAATGTATTTTTATGCATCTGAACATCTAAGCTCACAATTTCAGCTTCAGAAAAGCATAAGCCAACATGGCCTTCAACATACTTTGCCTTTTTAATAATCTTTGGCATGATGAACCATACAGACCTGGAACCTGCAGGTGCCAACAACTACATAATTATTGCCGCCATATGCAATGAGAGATTCTGCTGTCCCACTCTCAAATGGGTTGAATTCCACCACATGCACATAATCCTCACATTCGACAGTATAGGTTGCACTTCGGGAACCTTCTTGCTTCATCTTCAACAGAAGAATTCAAGTTAGCACAAGTTAGTTCCACAGTGAGACAAGGTTCTAAAATGTAAATGTATGTACAGGAAGGTAAGTTTCACCGAGTTCAGTAAGACTTTCTTTGGAGAAATCACAGCTTTAACAATGTTACTTTAAGGCTATTATTCTAGCATAAATATTTGCACTGCATTGAAACTTGGGCCTGGGCATCATACAGAAAAGTGAGGTGGTATAACCAATAGATGGTAGAATGAATTGTGCTACTTCAGGCTGTTGGTAGAGGATTAAAAAAAGTCAGTGCTTTCCTACGTTAAAAGGAAAAAGCGCTATCCTCAGCTAATGCTAGATTTGAAAAGTATATTAATGGTGGAACCAGATTCACACATAAACTTGCATGCATGCATACATTTCCTTTGCTTTACAGCCCAATCACACACAGTATTTAGCCATTATGTTCACTTCCTGCACATTTGAATTGGTCCTGTATACAACACCTCTTGACATCCCAATTGAGGAAGTTAATCCACTCTCTTCCCCAGAGCTCAAAAGTAATAAATGATTATTCTGCAAATTTGGCCTCTAGACTTAATAGTATTATGTCCAATTCCTTTATATGACAACGTGCAATATTTCAGTCAGAGAATACAATGCATGGACTGAAGTTTCAGCAGCTTATGAACTCAACCACTACACCAGTGCTCACCAGTGGGATGGCAACTAATAAGCTCTTCAGCCTTGTAAATATTTTATTGCCTACAAAACACTTTAAGGGCATGATCCTATGCAAAATCTTACAATTTCCAGCATTCCCTGGTCTACCCTGCCGAATAGTAAGGGTTTTCCTTTCTGTGTAAGCATATAAAAATCGTCGTCTATACCACAGTGTAAACCCTGTGTTTGCAGTGAGTATATGGGGAAAGATGGATGTGTACGTAAGGAGGGCGGGGAGGGAATCATATTTAATGGAACAGGCACGGTCCTGGAGATTCTGCTTCTACCTTTTTACGTCACTCTCCTTTCCTGGTCTGCTACAACTCCAAGTCTCCTCAAACCCGGATAAAAAAATAACAGCATAGACAGTACCCAAGTGATTCATTCCTTGTCCGCCCTCGCCAAATGCAATACGTTGTTGTTACTTGAAAAAGTAGAGGACCTGAAGGGAGAAAGGAGACACGGCCTCGGAGGGAGTTCTGCCACAACACGAAATCACTGGGTACTATCTAATTTGAGTGTCGTTCATTTTAGTGAGTGTACTTTAAGGCAGATTAACACTCGGAATAGCGCGGGTAGGGTGGCGGTAGAGACTCTACTTCTCTGTAAATCTGGCGCACCAGCACGCCAAGGGACTGCTCTCTGAGAGAGAGAAAGAGTGAGAGAGCGGGAGAACGGGGGCAGCCGACAACTGAACGGCCCCGCACAGCTCTCATCCAACGGCCGCGGTGCAGCAAAACGGGCGAGGGGCAGCCGTCTTTCCTGGGCAGGCATCTTCCTCGCAGACAGGGCGGCACTGAATGATACAGTCGCCCCACACAATGTCTGCACCACCTCAGGAAAAACGACTGTTAGAACGTCAACCCCCTCTTTCTCTCCTCTTCGGCACAGCCGCCCCACATACTAAACAAAAGTTACGCTCTATACTTCAAGACCAAATTCTCGCACCTCACAGATCCGTCCGGTAAGCTCCCGCGAAGAATTTGTCAGGAGTCAACACTTCCGGGTAGCTGCCGCTGCCACTCTAGCTCTCCCAGAAAGTCACTTCCGGGTCACGGAGCAGACAACTTTCCGATTGGCTGATCCAGAAAATTTTAAAATTAAACCACCGCGAACGGCTGGGGAGGCGGTGCGCTGGCTGTCGCTTAGCAACTGGTCGTCGTTGCTTCTCGGATGTGCTCTGGTCCGTTTCTTCGACTGTGGCGAGGTTTGCGTGGCGACGGCGGAGCCTCTTTGGGAGTGGGGCGACTAGTAGAGGTAGAATAGAGGCTGGGGTGAAGAAGGGGAATGATGAGGGTGTTTTAGGATAGGCTGCATATGCACATGGTAGGCATGTCATGAGCGGAGCTGGCCGGAGCGGGGGTCAGACTGGATGACCGGCGAAGTCCCTTTTGACTCGCTCTGTTTCGATGTTTCTATGTAAGCGGGCTTGGAGCAGGATGGGGGTGTCTCCTGTGTTTTTATTATTTATTGAGTGTTCATTATGTTGGGTTAATTATTTTAATCTGCTTATAAATATCCAAAAATGGTTCACAGTATATTGCAAAATAATTTATGATTAAAAATACAACCGCATTTTAGATCAGTTGGGGCGCAGTCCTATACACTTTTAAACAGAAATAAATCCTACAGCATACAACCATCAGTCATACAGGATAGAGCATGCGCCAAGTTGTATACCGTCTCCCCCCCCCCCCTTTTTTTTTTTTTTTTTTTTTTTTTGTCTAAACATGCATAGCATGGAGATCTGAATGATTGGAAAAAGCAGGGGGAAAACGTAAATTTTTAGTAAGTGCCTGGTACCTCTGTGGCAGAAGGGAAGTCATTTGCCCTGTCCCTGTCACATGGGACTCTGAAGCATGCGTCAGAGAGAGCAAGGTAATCACTGAAGACTGAACAGTGTTAAGAGTCTATATAGGAAGAGGTGAATTCTCAGTCAATCTTGTCCTAAAATGTGCAGGGCTTTATATGTCAACAGTAATGCCATTTAATCTGAAAAGCCATAGATGGTGGCTACTAGCTACTATTCCAGCCCAATATGTTATGATTTCCAGAAGGTAAAATCATGGAAGGAACACAATGAAAGGGTGCATTGCCTCAGGCATTCAGGGATTAAAATAGTAAAGGGCTTTAAAAGTAAGCACTATTCAAGGAGTGAGATTCAACGTGTGTATAATTTTATTGACAATTTTTGTATATTTTTAATGCTTGGAATAATAGATTTCACAATAACATGTCATTTTACTATAATATGAACGAATGTTCTAGAACTGTTCCATTCCTTCATTCATTCAATTTATATGCCACTCCACGAGTCATAGGCTCTCTGGATGGCATACAAAATGTTAAATTCCAACAACATAAAACAATACAAGCACAATATAACATTCACTATAAAGACCAATAATAACAACAATAATATCTGTAAACATAATAAAAAACCAAAATAGGAAAAGTATAGAATTCATGAATACTAAATTACACACACACACACACACAGACCCAAGAATAAAGCATAAGCCATTAAAATTAAGAATAAATATCCCTCCTTTAAAAGCATGTCCAACTGGTAGCAGCATAAAAAATAACATTATTAATACCTAAAATTCACATATTAAAATGACTGCTAAATTGATACATCTTTAGATGGCACTTAAAAGCCAAAGAGTTGGTGTCAACCAGACCTCAAGCGGTATTGAATTTCAAAATTGGGGTGCTATGCAGGAGAAGCCCCTCCTCTTTGCAAACTCCCCCTCACTTTGTTAGCAGGAGGAACACAGGAGGGCTTCAGATGAAAACCGCAGTGAATGGGCAGGTAGATATGGATGAACACATTCAGTCTACTTCTAGTTTAGTCTTTTCTCTAGTATGAAATTATGACATATTGTAAACTTAATTTAGCGTAAGAATGCATTATTTTTCCTTTTTAGCACTGTAAAGAAATTAGTGCAATCAGCACTTTAAACAATCTGGAAACAAATAAGCAGCAGTGGGCCTCATACAAAACAGGTATTATATACTCCTTGTAATGCTAGGTATTAATCAGACAGCTGTCTTTTGGATTAGTTGTAGTTTTTGAATAGTCTCCAAGGACAGTTTGATGTGCACCATGACAGCAGTCTAGATAACATTTGTTCTCAACCCTTTCAAACCCAGAAGCCACTCTTAGCCCAAACACACATATGGATTCCATTTCTTAATGTTTCAATCATGTTACTTCGGAATGGTTGTAGTACAACTGTTGGATCAGGCTGTGGCTCCTGAAACATGACTTGAAGATGAGTAGTCTAAATAGAAGCTAACTAGGAGATTCATTACAGTGTTCAGATGCCTTTTTCCAGTAAGGGCATAGTTGGTGAATTAGTTGAAACTGATTAAATTTCCGCCTGCTAAGCAACTATTAAAAATGAAGAAGCAATGCTAGGAGTAAAACATGATAGCAGTTTATATCATGGCCCTTAAAATACTGAGGGAAGATGCTTTTGCTCTCCCAAGTTCTTCAGCCCTACACATTTTGAAGAACATGATACAAAATGAGATTTCCTAATCATGTCCATGCTGCGATCTTATTGCTAGTCTGTTGGAAACTGATGTGCTGCAATTTCAGTACTGCCTTTGGTTTTTCAGCTTGTGATGACTTAAGGTGCAATGACATTTGGGGGCTGGGTCAAAGGTACTTTGTGGTAGTTCAGTCTGTTACCTTAAGGCAGGGTCAGGGAACCTGTGGTGCTCTGGATGTTTTTGTATTGCAACTCCCAACATTCATGACCATTGTCCATCTGGCTGATGGGAATTGGACTCCCAAGAATACCTGGATGGCCAGCATGTTCTGTAGCTTTGCATTAAATCATTCAGCCCAACTGGGTTTCCATATTTGTTTCTCTATGACAAAACATTCCTGATAAATGCTTGTCCAATCCTTTCTGGAAAATCTTAATAGAAAGCCATTTGGTCTCCAGTTTTATTAGACATCTGCTTTAATTGTTGAATTATTCTTATTGTTTCTCCAAGCGTTTAATCTAAATCTACCTTTAGTGCATCTTCGCTTGCTCTCAGTAAATAGGCCAGTGTTGTTCCTTTGGATCTTTCCCACATCCATTTGCAGATTTCAAAGCTGTCATTGTATCTCTTCAATGTTTACTGATAAGTATGTCCCATTGAGTTTAGTAGGGCTTCCTTTACTGCATAAGTTGCATAGCATTGCAGCCTCAGGTTGAAATCCTAAGCACATATAACGCAGAGTCAGTTATTTATTGAATAACCAAACTTAGGATGACATGTCTATCTTCAGCTGTTAAGTGCAGTTTATTTTTTCCATATGGTTGGTGTCTTAAAATCTTCAGTATTTTTGACTATCAGCCATGCTGGCTTTGGCTAATGGGAGTTGTTAACCCCCAAAGTCTGGAGGGAACAAGTAAACTGCTTTATAATTTTTGATGGCTTTCTGTGAGACCAGCCTTTCAAAAATCTTTCTTGAATGGTGATGCCCAGACTGAATTCTCTGTTCCACTCATGGGGTGGGATGGAGGATTCCTAGGGAACTTCAAATGACATTCATGTTTTCTATCCCAGCTTGGTGACTCATTGTTAGGTTACTCACTATGACCTTTAACATTTTCTTATTTGCTTCCTATCTACCTTTGTTCTTGGCTCATATTTTGCCCTTGTTGAAATTCATTTGGTGGTTGTTTGTCTTTTTCTTCCTGGGTCATGACAATAATATGGATGTTTAGCCTTTCCTCTTAAATGTTTGTAGTGTCTCCTTCCAATGATTTGCAGTTTTATTCTTTTACTTTCTGATTTAGAAACATGACTACTCTTCAACAAAGGATCTTGAGTATGCTTCATTGTTTCCGAAAAGAATGGCACTTATTTTCGGACTCTGAAAGGACTACTGTGTGTGGTGCAGATTGCATGTTGATGGCTTTGCAGCTATCTGTCGCTGAGGTAAATAAAAAGGTTAGTATATCTTTTTTTTGTTCTGAATATTGAGTTCACAGGGTGTCCAAATAAAATTAGGATTTTTAATCAAGAAATAAGGAACATCTTTGCAGTGGTCTGTTCACTATTCTGATATTCAGGAAGAGACGGTTCTTGTTCACTATTTAAAACAAGTAATTGATTTATCAAAATTCTGCTGCTTCTCTGATTGGGAGGTTCACACCTAATGGGAAATCATGGGTTTCTTCTATGTGGTTGACCTTACACATTCCCTTTCTTCATTTTGCACACAAAATTGAAAGATTAAGCTTTAGGTTGTTTTTAAACAAATTACAACTTCCTATTATGAACAAGCTTAAAATCTAGTTACTTCAGGCAAGCCAAGTTATAACCTAGCCACTAACTAGAATGTAAACAAATGAGCTCCTAGAGTTTGAGTAGTATGGAGAATTGTATTTAGTTTAAAAAAGGAACAGGATACTTCTTATAACTTCTTCTGGTGTGCACCAGTAAAGGGGAGGGGAAAGTGTAGGAACCTAAAGCTTATCACAGCTCATGCATATAGCGGGAAGCTAGAGTTTCTTCTTTGGTCTCAGCTGGTCAAATAGTCAATATCCAGGCTGCTCTGGGGCTCCGTGTGATGGCCAGAACCAGAATACCCAAGCCCTCCCAGAGTTCTCAGCCTCCTGATGAGTACTAGCTGGGACCCATGGACAAAGATCTATGTAAGAGCAAGCTCTTCTGTCCGGCACTTGCCTCAGCAGTACAAGTCCTCCTATTTGCTGTGGTTCAGCTCCTGCATCTTGCTTAACCCTTGCTCTGTATCCTGTCTAGCTATCCTGCCTGAAGTACCTGCATCTTGTCTGATGAAGATCCTGCCTTGCTGTTTGTATCTTGCCTCGCTGTCTCACTTCAGCAACACAGGTCTTCCTGCTAGCTGTGATGTGTTTTTGCTTCTGCACCTTGCCTGACCCTTGCTGCATCTGGACTCCTTCCATGTATCCTGCCTTGCCATCTTGCCTCAGCAATGCAGGTCTTTCTGCTAACTCCTGCATCTTGCCTGAACCTTGTTCTGTATCTTGCCTTGCCCGAGATCCTGTCCACTTATCTTGTCTTCAGGTATCTGCACTTCTGTTTGTCTTCTTGGTTCTTGACCCTTGGCTTGTTCATGACTGTTTACATGTATGACCTGATACATACTCCTGGTTCTTGACCTGTACTGTGACTATGATTTGAACCTTGCAGTTGGACTTTGGATTCTGTATTGCCTTTTGTTCTTTTGCCCTAGTCCCAGCCCCTGACACAACCATTCAGATTCACAGTTTCAGCCGAAGAGGCTAGGGAAGATGCCAAGGTAAAATAAAAGCAATTAGGCTTTGGAAATGCAGAAGAAAGTAATTTTGTTTGAAGACTGAAGGATGTCATTTCATGTTGCAAAATATATTGGGAAATGCAGACTTGAATTTAATTGAGTTCTCATGCAACTTAGTTGGTTCCAGAGAAAAAATAATCTTCCACTCACCTTAAAGTAAATATATGTTGTTTAATCCTTGAACAAGCCATGCTATCTCGGATTGGACAACAAAACAAGCTGCAGCTGGGCAGTGGTTACAGAAATTGTGCCCAGCATGTGCTGCAACTCAAAACAAACCATTGTGTCCTGTTAAAGTCACCATAAATTTTGAAAATGTGAACCTGGTTTGCATAGCATGATAACCCATTGTGGGTTGTTACCTGTGAGGGGTTGTGTTGTGTGGACTGAATCCCCCAGGCTTGCCTGATTGAGTGCAACAAGTCACCCTGACAACCCATGGGTTTTTGTAAGGGTTGTTGTGTACAGGATAGGTTGTGTCATCTGAACCTGGATGGCTGATCCCATTGTGGATACTGAGAATGTATTACTAACCTGTTTGACAAGAGTGGTAAAAGAAACTCTTGCCGCTCAGCCATCCCATAGACAGCCAAGCAGCTCTTGGTGGTGGCTGCCTGCCTCACCATAATTATAAGCCAGCTTTTTGCTCAGGCTTGTTGTTCCCGTGTCTTCTCCTTCCCCCTGTTGATGGTTGGCTTGCATGATTATCATTTTGACAGCTTCTGACAGTCCATTCAAAGCTCCCTAGTGACATGTTGGAGTGGTGCCAAAATGACAAACATTTTAAAAAATTATGTTTGTAAATATGTGTGCAAAAGGGTTCAGGCTTTTTTAGTTGTACTTGCACAGGCACTAATCCTGGATATTGACCCCCCTCCCCCGAGTCCTCCAGGTGATATATTTTTGTACTCCTTTCTGAGAAAAGTGTTTCCCACACCCTTTTCTGTGGAAAAGGATTTGTGACAGCTAGCTGTCTAAACACTTGTTTCCCTCTAAAGTTGACGTTTGACAGGGCAATGAGGAGTTTTTGACTGAGACACATAGTCATATGTCCCAGTCTGAAAAACTCTCATTGCTTTTTCAAAGCTTCCTTCTGTGAAAGCTCTTCCTTGCCCATCTTTATTGAGTTTTGGCAAAATGGTTGTGTTTGCCAGGATTTCGCAGCTGTTAAGTATTGTTAGCATGCAACTGTTTTCACGAGAGTTTGTACTTTGATTATTAGTGTTCTTAGCTGACTTTAATTTTAATGCTTTATATCTTTGGTCACTTGAATAAGTGGAAAGGTAATGCCATATATGCTCAAAATAGTGATATAATAAAATGATTATAAATGTCTAACAAAATATTAGCTTTGGGCACAGAATGAGTAAATCATTGGCTTTACATTTTATCTTAACTAGAAAAGTTAAGTATATAACTAGAAAAAGTATAAACCATCCTTCAGTACAAATCTCCAAGATTATACTGTATAAAACTCATAGCCCTCCCTCATAATCAAATTGTTCATCTTTCCCAAAACTGTACTACAGAAATTTTCAAGAGTGGTTGATGATAAAAGTATTGAAATGCCTTAGATGCCTAGAATTTGTTTATAGGGTAGCCCCTTGCCTACTTGGATGTAAACTTCATTAAGTCCAAAATGCACATGCATAAGATTTCACTTTGTCAACCCCATGCCAGTTTCTCTCCAGGATGCGGAAATAGTCATAGCAGTAGACTATTTGAAATAGTAGAGCTCCTTGAATATTAGCAGACTATTGAAATAGTAGAGCTTCTTCACTGTATATTATGCTCTACACAGCTGCAGTGTCTCGCCACCAGAACCTTTCTCTCCCCCTTTTGCATCTGCTTTCTGCTTTGATAAAAGAAGGCATTAGCAAAACTGGTCTGTTGAAGAAAATACAATTAGATGCTTTCTTCCTGGTAGGAAGTCTAGCTACAGATTTTTAAGTTCGCCAGAAGAATGAAGTTTATTATGCCAATTACAGTAATACCTCGGTTCATGAACGCTTCTGTTTGCGAACAATTCGGTTTGTGAACAGAAAGTTTGGCAACATTTTGCTTCCATTCATGAACTCCGCATTGGGTGGTGAACATGATCGCGGCCATCTTCCCCACACTGTGACCATGTGTCAGAGCATATTTGAGCGGGGAAGATGGCCGTGTTTGTGTTCGCAGGAACATGAACGTGGCCATCTTCCCCGCTCTGACACGTGGTCGCAGCTTCCTCTAGTCGAGATCGCGGTTGCAGACTCTCCCTCCAAACAATAACCTCCTCCCCACCCACCTTCCTGTCCTCCACGCCAGAAGTCACCTCAAGCAAGGTTAGTGTTCTCTCTCCTCATGCTCTACTGTACTATACTTTGTTTCATATTTTTGTGGTTTTTTAAAAAAAATACAGTGGTACTTCGACTCACGAGTGCCTTGGTTCACAACCAAATCAGGTTGCGAACAAAAATTTCATGGAAATTTTGACATGGGTCGCGAACTCCGCATTGGGTTGCGTTCGTGCAGGGAAGACGTGTGATCACGGGCACGCTCCTGCAGGAAAGACGGGCGCATTCTCAGCCATCTCCCCTCCCCCCAGCCAGCACAATCGCAGCCATCTCCCCACCCCCCTGAGTGGACGAGATCGCACCTGTCTCTTCCTCCTCCAGCGTGCCCCATTTGCGCCCGCCTCTTCCTCCCCCTGTGCCCGTGATTGTGCCCGTCTCCCCTCCACCCCAGTGTGCTGTGGGGGGGGAGATGGCCACACTTGTGCTTGGGGTGGGAAGGGGGAGATGGCCGCGATCTTTGTTGTTATTTGTCACTTTGCTTCACCTTTTTCTGATTTAAAAAATGGTTATAGAACAGATTAACCTTATTTACATTGAACCTTATGGGGAAATTTAACTTGGCTCACAACCAATTTGGGTCACAACCAGAGTCCTGGAACAGATTAAGTTCATACCACTGTTCATAAGTTAAGCCAACGTACCACTGTACATATGGTTCAGAATGGAGTACCCTTATTTACATTGAACCTTATGGGGAAATTTGACTTGGTTCGCAATCAGAATTATAGAATGAATTAAGTTCATGAACTGAGGTACCACTGTACTCTCCTTGGGTTTTGCATACATAAATTTTGACAAATATTTGCAGGGTTAATCTATTCTGCCAGTTTCCTGCCTCTGTGACTTGAAGCATAATGGAATTTTATAGATAATGTAGTAGTGGAATGGCAACATTAAACTGTGTCTATAGTATTTGCTTTCTTCTTTTGTATTGTGACAAAGCATTATTTGAGTCAGTCCTTCTTAATATACCATGTAAAGCACTGTATGTTATATGGCTTCTATTATTACACTGATAGCATTGACTGAACCTTCAAAACTTTTGCTTTTACGTATTTGGTGTTCTTTGCAGAAATGCAAATCTTTTTCAGTTCTGTTTGATGGGTTTAAATAGTAAAGTCTGTCACTAGCATGGTATCTTTGTGGTTTGTCTGCAGTAATATTAGCCAACCTATTTCCAGCTTTAGTGTTGTTCTCTTACAAAATCATTAATCAGTTATATAAAAATAGCTGTTACGAATTTCTGTTAGAATTTTGAATTTTAGAACAAAATAATTTTGTAGTCAAATGTTCCAGAAGGATGTGATTCTTACAAATAACATCAGGAAGAAGTGCATGGCTTTGAGTTTTGTAAACTTTTTAAAAATTTTACCCTCGTGAAAGACAATAATCCTGTTGTCTATCAGAGAATTAAAGTGTTGAACTTTGTGAACTTCCTTTATAAATTAGCCAGCTGGCATTTGTTCCTAGCAAAACATTTTCTGAGTTCTACCACAAACTCTCACAATCCTTTCTATGAATAATATGCTGTCACGGTGGGCACCTGATCATGAAAATTGATATCTGGACAGCATTTTTATTTGGATTTAAAATGTTTTTACAGTACCAGTATAAACACAGTTAAGCTCTGCAAGTTCTTCATCCTGTGAGAAAAGACTGAATTATATTGAAACTTAACTAGTAATTACACATCAAAGAATTGGTCTCAGAATCAACCAGAGGAAGAAAAACATCCTCAAGTATCTTTAGGGTTGCAATCCTATATTTGCTTCCCTTGGAGTAAGCCCCATTGAACTCGGTGGGATTTACATCTGAGGAAATGATTGCACTATAAATTTCTTTGTGTTGGACAATAGCTTTCTAAAAAGCCAACATGAAAAATGCAGTTGTTTTACTTAGGGCATTTCATATAAAACATACTTAAAGAACATTTCCATTGCTACCAGAATTTAACACCACTGATATTTAAGAACACAACTGGTTCTGTAAATGAAATGGGAAACTCTAGTGTTTTCCTAATTGGTCATGTTTTAATATTTGTGCAAACAGAATGGGTTGGATTCAGACCAATGCTGAAGACACTGTGGCTCAGTGATAAAAACACATGCTTTGCTTTTAGCTCTATGGTTCAATCTCTGGCATCTCCAGGTAGGACTGGGAAAGAATGCAGTTTGAAACCCTAAAGAGTCACTGCCAGTCAGGGTTTGACAGTACCAAGCTAAATGGACTGATATTCTGACTTGGTATGTAGCTGCTTCCTAGGTACCTGAGCCTGCAGATTATTTTCACTAGGATGGAACTCAGTGGGACATACTTTTGAACACACATGTATAGAATTGCATATTGACTTCCAGTGCAGTAGTATACATAGCTGCTCATATGTATGTTTGTATTCAGGCATAGTATTGCAAGCCAGGTTGCCATTGAAACAGTGGAACTTGCCATGACTAACTTTTCTCATTTATTTCAATTGGACCTAAATGCAGATAGCTTACTATGCATCTGTCCCAATCCACCAAGCATGTTCTGCTTAATGGTAGGATTCAGAAAATGGTCTGCAATATAAGCTCAATGATTTGCTCAAGGGAATCAAATCTTAGTCTGGTCAGTAGTTGAATGAGAAACTAGACTTGAGAAATTGTACTTTGTACTCCTTAGAGGAAAGTCGGGGATATAAATAAAAGAAATAGTGAAATGAAGGGAATAGGAGGAGGAGGCTAAGGAAATGAGAAATGAGGGAAGTAGGAAGGATCAGAAGTGATAGTTGAAGATGGTTCTAAATTGTGTCTTGTGGCTCTGAGACTTCATTATCATTTTTGTACATAGCTTTTCAGCTTAGAAGCAGTGGTTGATCCACACAATATATTCTCTTGATATGTTCCTATGCAACATACCTGGAAATGTTCATTTATACCATTTTCAAAAACTGTTAGAAAAACGGGATATATTGTGAAAAACCATTTGTAAGCAAAATCAATTAAATACACACTATAGGACATATAGGGCCCTAGATGATTAGTTTTCTCTCTTTGTTATAGTGTAACTTCATGAGCCTAATTTTTGTTCTTGTTAGTCTCTATTTCCTGTTCCAAATAAATGATGACTTTTTTCTCTCTTTAGCACTTTGGAGATTTCAAAGCATCTCTTAGTGAAGTGGTATTACATTGGAATTATCTACTCCCTGATAAGTTGGGTATATTGCAGAACAATGTGGAAGCTCCTGAAAACTATGAAGACATCAAAAGCACTTATGCTAGCTTTTTAGAATATTCCAATATGATGGATCTTATAGATGTTTATCAGAAATGTGTGGCACTAGCACTGGAAAATGAATCTATATCTGCTGTAAGTATTTTTTTATTAAGTGTTTGAGTAAAAGAGGCTTGTAAAGAACCACTTGCCTGACTGCAGGGAGAACTTTTGAGTACTAATAGTTCCTTTTTGCCTGACTAACCATTATTATGCCAGAAAAAATAACTAACACCCTAGGTGCGGATTAGTAAGCATTTATGTGGGCTAGTAACTTCTATGGGCTTATTTGAAAGACTGGAATAAAATACCGTAGCCAAGAAAGTGATGTAGATGGAACCAAATTAGCTATACAGTAATCCCAAAATCTGTGCCAAAGCCACATATTAACTGTATTTGCTACATTAGTTTTCTTGCTAAATCTCTGTAAAGGCTAAAAGCTATGTGGCTTATGAAGTAAGATAATTCTCTCTGAATGTGTCTGGCACAGTACTATGGAAATGATGGTCTTAATGTCAGAGTAACTCAGTAAAATTCCAGTGAAGCAGTCACTTTATCTGAAACTGTATTTTAAAAAAATGAGTGGCACTTTAAGATTATGAGAATATGATGTGGAAGACTGTTGCCTGATGCGAATTTGTTTGAAGTTGCCTTAGATGGAGTCGAACCATTAGACTATTCCAGTACTTAGGTGAACTGATTTTCAAGGGGTCTTTCCTAAATGTTAAACAAGCAAAACATTCATTTATTTATGCTTACTTCAGAGGAAAGTAACCAAATCAATATGTGTACTAAGTCATGTATTGTGAGTGGAAGGGACCTCAACTGTGCCAGCTAACACTATTGACAGGTTCTCCAGGAAATCTTGGTATGGCAGTTAATGCTATTGGCATCACACTAGAGGTCCCTTACGTTAGTGCAGCATATTTTACAGTAGCTCTTGTGTTGACTTTGGTACTGTCCTAGATATTTGTGTACTGCTCTTTCCTATATATAATATTCAAGGCACCTAATTAAATCCATCTAACACAATATAAAACATAAAACTTCCTAATATGGAAACCAGACTGTCTTCAATACTGCCTATTGAAAGGTAAGCAAAACTGAAGATGGAAACAGACTCTAAAAACTGCTATAGAAAATAATTTATTGTAACTGGTGCAGAACTGGTAAACATTCCACTTTGATGGCCAGCTTTCAAAGCAGGCATCTTGTATCTGAAAGTGAAGGGAAATTCTTCAGAATAAGAAAATCCATGTTTCTGCCCCTTCTAGTTCTCTAGAGGAAACTTGCTTGATTTGTCACAATGCCTTCAGGAAAAACAGGTTGTCTCTTTGTAATATACTTTGTTACTTTGTGATACAAGAAAGACTCCTTTGTCTGCTAAGGAGCGAAGTGTGCCAGCTAAAAGGATGGATTAGGATTTTGAATCTACTCTTTTTGCAATTTAGGACTTTATGTGTGCTAGTTTTGCTAGGTTTGCCAAATTTCAAATGTCCGTAAAATTGTTATTGCCTTAATGAATCCACTTCCTTAAATTCCTTATACCAGAAGTTTATGTCTAAAGGAGTTTAGCTGTACTCAGCCTTACTTCTGTCCATGCAGCAGTATTCTGATATTCTGATTTTAGGAATCTTCCCTAATTCTCCTTTTACTTGAACAGAAGCACAGTTTCAAGGATTCCATACAACTTCTGTTTTAAAAGTATGAGAGTTGCTGACCTACGGGTATCCTGTGGGATCTCTACCCCATAGATGATCCACTGTCTATCACAATGGCTACCTCAGAGCCAATCAGAAAATGTGTCCTAAAGCAATTTCTGATTTTATTCCAAGGACTGCATCCACTTATCCAGTTAGGCTCTGCTTGGCATGTTTGCCATCTGCACATGAAGCAGCCCATGTCTTGTGTGTTTCAGGAATACAGCAGCATCTGCTTGCATGAAAGGATAGTAGACTGTTCAGGTACAGTTTTGAAATAATCTTCTTGCTTGCCAAAGGTACAACTGTTAGAATTTATTGTTGGAACAGTAGATGCCATCGGTGAGAGTGATTCCATTTCTTCTGTACCCTCTACACCAGCTAATAGAATAAGCCAGGATAATGAAGAGGTAAGATGTGATTTTTACACTGTATGCCTATACAGCATTTCTTGTGAGGGATGCCTACAGTTTTAGGTGCTATCTTTTGGTTTAATAGTGATTTCCAGGCTTGTTTGTTTATGCATAAAAACCACATTTCTGGAATTTCAAATTGAATTTGAGCTGAATTTCAGCATTCTTTAAAAGAAAAAGGCCAATATATTGACAAGAGCATGGCTTGTTGGAAGACTCCATGAAGTTAGTCAATGGCAGGCAATAGGTTCTTTGAGGGCTGTTTTTTCACTCAACGGTAATTAGGCAATTGGTATCTAGTATTTATCGTAGCATAAACAAGGTACTGGGGCTTGTTTAAGCTATGGTAATCATGTGAACTTTGCCAATACTTGGAAAAGGCTTCAAGGTTCACAATCCTTTGTGGCCACACGTCATGTTCTCTTACCTATATTTCCTGCCTTTCAGTTACTCAAGTCTTGTTTATGGATTCCTAGACAAGGCACCCCTGAAATTAATTCAAAGGCCTGAAATCAAGGAAGTACAGCAGGACCTCTGTATCCACAGGGATGGGTTCCATGCTCCCCAGCGGATGCCTAAAACCACTGATAATAGCAAGCACTATGTAGTGTACATATACATATCTTTTTTTCACAATTTCATGGATTGAAGATTTGATCTTACCATACATCGTCCTAGTAACCTCAGCATTTGCTTTTTTATTTCCCTATTATCAAGAAATTATAGCTGATATTCTCTATTAACAAGAATTTTCACTTAAAGGAAGCACTTTACGACTTCTCTTTCAAACTGAGGTCAGCCATGGTTAAATGAAAATGCAGTACCTGAGCCAGCAGATTCAGGAATCCTGCTGTATTATTGAGGTCTTGACTAAGATTTGAAAAGTAAACTGTTAAGAATATCAAATAGTACTTGTTCTCAAAGTGGTCATTATGGAAATTTTAAATGTTAGACTGGAAATCAAACAGGGAAATATGGAATGATAGATCTTTGATACATGCACCTTTAAATATACATGTTAATCCAAGTCTACATTCTTTAACTAGTCATAAAAGTTAGTGATTTGCCAGCTGGTGTAAATTAGGTTTGCTTTGTTACATGCAAGTTAACCAATGCATTGCTAAATCAAGTTTTCATGATGCAAACAAATGACAGCTTTGTTTGTTTGTTTGTTTATATAGTTGCCATTGATAGTGAAGAAAATTCTGCATGCATATTTAAGCTTATTAGTTAATTCCAAGAATGATCTGGCTTTTGCACACATTTTAAATATTCCTGAGCGGGGTCTTGGAAGAGAAGCTTTTACAGATCTAAAACATGCTGCACGGAAGAAACATCTGCCTATGTTCCTGGTATGTATGGCAAGTTGGTGTCAGTCTTTCTGTGATGGCATTGCAAAGAAGTAATAGGATGGTTTTGTTGCACTGGTTGTGATAAAGGTGATGGATAATGAACCTGCAAGACCTATTAACAAGCACTCCTACCATGATGCCACCTCTAAGTTGGCAGTTAAAGTTCAGAAGGCTTCTGTTGCTGATACTTGCTTACATAACTATTATGTGATTAATAAGGTACAGTTCTTGCTGGTACAATATGTCTGAATCATATGTGGCACGAGACAGCACAAAGGTTTGAGTAATTGGTAAGTTGGACTCTTCCAAAGATTTGTAGTTTTATTTCAAAACAGCATGCTGTTAATATATTTGGAATTTATTTTGCGTTATTTTACAGGCACATAGACAGCTGTGATGGTAACATCCAGTTACTGAATAAATGGGCTTTAATTTGCTCATCTTACTTTGAATGGGAATATGGTTAGCTAATGTGGTATACCTTTACTGAGTGAGGGTCTTTTCCAAAGCTGCTTTAACAATTATCTCCCTAATTTTATGGGCTGATGTTTGTTCTACTACTTTACTTAGCTAAAGGATGTGTATTTTCTTAGATGGCAGCCTCTTTTATCAGAGCCATAGAACTTGGTGGAAAAGGTTATGCTCCTTCTGCAGATGATCCTTTAAGAAGTCATGTGAAAGGATTTTCACACTTGATTCACTTTATTGATAAACTGGAAGACATTATTGGTGAGGTCCTGGATCCAAGGTAACAATTTTTGTATGTTTTTCTGCTTAAGCTTAGGGTTAGGATATACATGCCTTTCTTAGCATGTGATAAACAAAAATCAGGAAACTGTCAATGTATGCTTTTTCTATACTAGAGAAAGGGTTTTCAAAGTCTCACTGTAAGAGGAGTGAGCCTACTTAACCTTTCCTTAATGTATTTAAACCAGTGACCAATGGTCCCTAGACAGCATCTGAGGAGGCCATAGGATTTTTTTGGATTCCCAGTCCCATGGTCTCAGAACATGTAATTGGTGCTCCATTTCTCCTCCTGCACCTCTTTGTAGTTCACATAGAAAAAACTTACACTGCTCTTTGAAGTTAGCAAAGCAACTCAGGAGATGAGGAAAGGGAAGTGTTTCAGGAGGGAAAGAGAGGAGGACAGAGTATATTTTAAACTGAAGCTTTACAGTATTTTTAAATGCTCACTATTATTGCAACCCTAGAAAGTATATCACATTTTTACAGAGGGTGGGGAACATAGCCTAAGCCTAAGTTAAACCTATATGCCAAGATAACTGTGCATAAGACTGCAGCACGTCACTAGCCCATGGTCACATGGGCTTGTGGCACAGGCAAAACTTCAACCCAGGTTTTCCAGATCAAGATTGAAACTCTAACTACTGGACTAGACTGACTTTTGGATGCTCAGTTATTCCTTGCATCAAAAATGATGGTACATAATACCTGTTAAACATTTTTATTTCAAATTATTTTGAGTAAATCATAATTTTGATTGCTTTCCATCCTGGAAGATCAAATGTTAGCACTACTTCACCTGAAAGTGTGATTCTGGATGCCAAAAGATGGATAGCATGATCTTCCATGCTTTAAGCTACAGTAGAAATACATTTCTACAGGGAAAAAATACAGCTGAACATAAGTGAAATCTTTAGGGCTTTGTGTGGTTTGCAGGAACTTAGCCTTTGTAGAATCTGCTTGGGTAGAGCTTTATGGATGAAATCTAAGTGAGGAGGTTACTGAACTAGCTGTCAATGCTTGGTGGGAAAAGTAATCTTTTTACACGAATAAATCTTGCATATATAAAATTATTACTGTCTGTGTCACTGCCAGGGAGAGGTCAGAGACATTTAGAGCATTCTTGTTAGCATTACTTGATTTCAACTTAATGTGGCACAGGTGAAAGCAAGAACTAAAGTAACCCTTTGGCTTTTTTTGTTCAGATTGAATCATGTAATGTAGAAGTAGCACATTTAATACTTTGGGCAAAGTATTTCAGCACTTAATAAAACCAGCCACAGGCTGCCATCCTATGCAAACTTATTTGGAAGCAAATATTCTTGAACTCAGAGGGATTTACATTTGAGTAAACTTGGGTAGGATTAGGCTGGAAGAGCAGTCTGTTTATGCCGTACCTTAATGCAAAATGAAGTTAACCATGGCATTGTGTCTTAAAACTAATCCCTTACACAGTAGATCAGCACTTTGTTTTGGCCTCTTCATATAAAAAATGAATGAAGTTTTCCTTTCATTGCTCCAGCTAGAGTTGTGTATATCTGATGGGGAATGGGAACATTTTTCCTGGAAATGAAGAATGTGGGAAGAAAGATTAAACAAGCATTGGGATATTAGCTGCTTGGAGCAGCAATACTGGGTAGAGAGAAGCATATTGTTCTTAGTTTTACTGGAGTTTGTGCTGGTAAAACAAGCCTAATGGCTTAAAAAGACTCACTTTGCAGAACGAACTGATCAAAGTAAGTGTGGCCCTTGTATACAAAAGCTGAAGTTTTCATTTAACAGTGGTTTATAATGCTCTTATTCAAGACACTGTTGTACCTTGCCTGAAGCTACATCAATAATTGAAAACTTCTGCATATCATCATCTTATTTATACCCATAATAATATGATGATGAGCAGAGGTTTTTAATTATTGATTCCTGTAAAGGAGTACAGGGAGAAAAATTTGAGTTGGGTGGGTGTCCCACAGTTTATGGAACCAAAGGTTGTTATTGCTCAGTCTTTATTCTTAGGAAATTCATGATCATAATTCATGCAGGTAAAACTTCATAATAGGATAAAAAGCACAGCTGGAATACACTGGACCATCCATCTTTGTATATGACTAGGAGAATAAGAGAATGAGTCTTCATTCTCCCCCTTGCATCCTACAGCATGACTTAGAAAGCAGAAGTTTGTTACACACTAATCCAAGATGCCTTGCTTTACTGTTAAAATTCTCAAATGTATCCCTTCCTTGAAATGGAGGACATGAAGTAGAACACAAAATTGATAAAGTACTTTCATATGACTAGAGGGCTGAGAACTGGTACACATCTAGTCCTAAGGAATTACATAATTGAAATACTTTGCATCTTATACAAAACTTGAGACATGAAATTTCATCTTGTAAGTGGCCACGTATGTGATATAATGCTACACTGCTGGAGCTTCTATACATTATGTTCCACTTTTTGCACCTGAATTAGGCTTGGCTTGGAGAAGGTATGCTTTCCAGAACATTCATCCTCTAAGGTTGCATACTGGGCCAGTTTGCATGTCAGGCTAAGCTACCTTGAGAAGAATCCATTGTAGTTGGGTGGCTTGCCTCTCACTTTCAACAGATGATTGCCTACTAGGTGGCCTCATGTGGCTTGTTTGAGCCTGCCTTTGTCCTCCATGCTGATGCCAGCAAGTATCCCAGGGGCTATTGCTGCTGAAATTATAATTTCCTGTGTCAGCATTGTTTCCAAAGTTGTTCCACTTTTGTTGCCAGCTGACAAGAAGATTGCAAGAAGAAACAGAATTTCCCAGCTGTTGAGAAAATTCCCCACCCCCAAATCAGATCACAAAAGAGGAAATATTTTTTCTGAGGTCTTATGAATTTGGGAACAAGTTTGTCTTTTTGTTTTTATTTTTAAAATTTCCTGGTCTTGCAGGGGAGCCCATGGCTGCTACCAAGCCCAGCATAGCAGTATCTCCCCTCTTGCCAATATCCTTCACAGTTTTATCCTACACTTCTACTCTTCCTTTTCTAGGAAACACGTTTCATTTCTATAGGCTGCTCTGAAGTAATAACACCAACCCCTAAAATCTCCTCCTCTTTTGTGGCTGCCAGTGATTTTTCATTTCCCCCTTCCTCTGTGGACTTTTTACTCTCTCTTCCCCACATCTCTATTCCTGTAACATGAAAGTTACAGAACAGTGAAAGACTGGGATTGGAAAGACTGCAAAATTCCAGACAGAGCAGTAGAATGGAAGACAAAATTGCACCAGTTTCAAGGCAGATCAATAAAAAAAGAGGTGGAACTTACACAAAATTTCTACCAGTAGTTATTTGCTCCTATACAAATTATTTTTAAAAATTGTGAAGAGATTCAGGATACTTTGCTGACTTTTCTTCATGATACCAATATAAGTTTTAATCTGTCCTGAGGCTGAGTTGATGGAGAATAGTGGCAGCAGTAGCAAGATCATGAACAGCAGCAGGATTTTCTCCATTCAAGCCATTCCCAGCAACCAATTAAAATTTTGTCATGCTGGGTTTAGACAAATAAAAAGGCATTCAAAGAGTAACCCAACCTAAATAACCCTACTGGAAGTCATGGGTTCTCAAGCTGGCTTCTATGCATAAAACCCAGAGCAGGAAAACCACTCTAGATTTGGATGTCATGCTTATTCCATAACATGTAAACCCATTCAGTCTGCTACCTAGAAGTCTAAATTTAATGTGCAACAGTAAAGAAAAGTGAGCATTGATGTAGGGTGTTGATTAAACTGGCTTCCTGCACTTAGTACATTCTATGGTTAATTAAGCCTGCTACTATTTCCATAGCACTGACATTTCTGTTTCCTGGTTGCACTAGTGTGTGATGAAATGTAGGAACACACACTTTTAAATATGCATAATATGTATGGAGGTAATTTGTCATTGGGGTGGAAAAACTTCTATTTCCCTTTGGTACTAGAAGAGTGTTTTAAGCACTTTATTAAAATGCTGTTTGTTAATGCTTTGTTCATTCTGGCTACCTAATTATTATAGTGAAAACACTTCTTATGGCTTCTGTACTTCTTAATTTATGTGAAACAGAATACTCTATAACACAAGGTGGCTGATTTCACTTCTTTCAAAAGTTGAGTCCACTTGTAGTTAATGAGCATTCAGATTATATAAGCTTAGAGATGGTAATGTAATGAATTAAGAACCTTTTGCTAGGCTATTTCTGTTTGCTATTTAAATCCATAGATTGGAGAAGGATGAGTCTATTGTTCCTTCTTCTTAACTCTTATTTAATCTTTCAAATCTTAAAAGCAAATGATTGCATTAAAGTGCAGAATTTCATTGCATGATGCTGTGCAATCTAATAGATCAAAGCTGTTTGCTGAGCAATTTTGATTAACTGTGAATACTCTCTGTTTTTAAAACTGTTAAGTATATTAAGATAGTGCCAAGATGAATATGGGGATGACCCTAGGTCTGTTTTTAGACTTGCAGGGGGCCAAATTCTATCAACAATCAAGATACATCTGATAAAAGGCCGAAACAGCAGGGATCCCTTCTGTGGAGCAGTAGAGGAAGTTGTACAAGATTTGGATTTAAGGATTAAAAATATTATCAATTTTCAGCATGAGGTTGTGACAACTAGTACTGCTGGAATCAGTCCAGCCCGGGTAAGGGGCCTCCTTTTGTCCTGAATTGCTTGATGTTAGAAAAGTAACTTTCCCCCAAATGCCTTGCTTATAGAAAATAATCCAGTAACAGAAGTTTCCTGTAACAGGGGGTACTTAATTTGTTTGGAAAAAAGTATTTACTTTGTGCTACTTGTGGATGGTTTGTTTATTTATTCATTATATTTGTATCTTGCTTTTGTTCCTGCAAGGAACATAAAGTGGCTTCCCAAGACCCCCGGTGCTCTACCCTAATAACACCCCTATGAAGTAGGATAGGCTGAGTTAGTGACTAGTTCAGAATCACCCTTGGAGCTTTGTGGTTGATCGGGGACTAGAATGAGGATCTCCTAAGTCTCACTTGAACCACTATGCCACACTGGCTCTTGGCAGATAATTACAGAAGAAAAAGCTGTGTTTTAAGACCTTAATAGTTAATTGCACAATATATTAAAGTATCTTAGATTATTTTTTCTAGTGGTTTAAGATATTGTCATCCCCCTGCTCCACAGAAATACATACAGATATGCAGTGTTTACTTCTTTCGGAAGATAGATTTAATTTAAGCTTCTTCTTGGTTAATTTGGCTAGTAACCCTGGGGGAACTTTTTGTAATTCAATGTGTCACACATCTTGGTACCTCACTTGAATCCTGTGGCAGCATCACCTCTTCATAAATACCTGTACTGGTGCATATTGCTGGTTCAGCTTCATCTATAGGATATACTGTTCTATGAATTCCACTAATCTGTTTTCCAATATGTGAAAGGTTCTGTTTTGAGGGATGTGTATCTGCCTTTGGTTATAATTTCTCCAGTGAATGAGAGAGAGAGAGCGAGAGAAAGAGAGAATCTGTTCCCATTTCAAGCCAAAAATAAACTATTGAAGTCAAGAATCATTGCAATATAGAGAGAAGGTGTCTACCATAAATTAAAACGCAGACATTTAGTGTACAGCCTGCAGCTGGTGTCAAGTTTTTTGGATCAGTGCAGTTATAATGTAGATACTATATTTAAACTCCATGTACAAATAATATAGCCCATTTTTGAAATAAATTTCAGCCCAAACTACATTGTATAAACCATGGCACTCGTTACTGCGGCAGAGATACTGTGAAGGCTCTATTGGTGCTTTTAGATGAAGCAGCTGCACAGCTTCCTTCCAAGAACAAAGCTCAACTGCTGTTTGGTGAAGAATTTGGATTCTCTTCTACCATGCTGCTGTTCAGGTAAGTGCTGGGTCTTGAAAATTATGAGCAAGTCTTACAAAGTCAGTAGGAATAAGAAAGGGGTTTTTTTTTTGGTCTGGGCTTACCATAAAACATTTCTGTATCAAGATGCACATTCCTTTGGGTGCAGTCTGTCAGTCAGCACCCGGCAGCTTGTGCCCCTCCCTTTGCCTGGTGGAGCTGGCACTTAGCTGAGCGCTGGTTTTACTAGATGGTAAGAAGAAATAAAGTGCTGGTGCTGACCTTCTAAGGCCAGTGCCAGGCAGCCTATGCCCCCACTTTGCCCAGCAGCCCCAGCTTCTCCAGGCAACAGAAGGGATGGGATGTCTTTTGCCCTATTCTTCTCCCCAGTAGGGAGTACGGAAGCAGGCAGCATTGCTGAACTACTCTCTTGCCTTTCTCTCAACAAAAGCAAGCAGAAGGGCTCTCTGTCTCCCAAGTATCAGTGGAAGATTCCCATCTGCTAACAACTGAAAGGATTGCAGTGGTGGGTGGGATCCATCTTGAGAAAGTGAGGCCAAGTCGCCTGTTTCTCTGCTGTTGCCCCAGTCCTTGAAAAGGGTTTCAATGGATGGCATGTGGTAGAGCCTGACACTTTCCTTTGTACTCCTGTCAATGCTGGGAGAGTGGGGTTGTTCATGAGCAATCCCATTCTCTTGATATCAGCAGGAACATGGGAAGAAACCAGGGGGAACTCCACAAAGTACCGCTTGGGCACCTCATTGGTTCTTGTTGCTCTTGCCAAGGGGCAATCTTGTCCTGGTGCCCATGACTCATGCCATTCACATTCAGATGGCATGTTAACCCATTGGCTGGGAGTAGCTTACCTAACCCTGGAACAAACTAGGGATTCTTGGAGTGGGTTTGTAGTCACTTGTTGGAATGCATGCTGGATACAGCCAACATGCTAATGCACCGTGCCTTTTTAGGGGGAAATGTCATACTTTCAGTTGCGAAGTGTGGATTTTAATAATTTTAATAGTACTATTATTATTCCCATGTGGGTGAATGGCTCAGGATGCCAGTATGTCCAATGGTTCTCAGCCTATGCATGGTTGGAACAATTTTTGATTTGGAGAAGCGTGGAATATTCTGTGTCAATAAAAATCAGTCTTCTAGAATGCTGTACAAATAGAATAAATGTTTATCTCTTTTTGAAAGTTGATAATAATTATTATGGAAAAATTAACTTAACCTCTTAGGGAGAAATAAACCAGGAAATAAGAATATTACCAGCTGAACTAATCTTATGTTTCTGAAACTTGGAGAGAGCATGCTAATTGAGAAGCTTGGATGCTGCTGATATTTCTCTACCAAAACATCAATAGTTTCAGCAGTGTATTTAGGAAGAATCTGTCATTACCAAAATTATCTGTGCAAACACACTGATGAAATAAACTCAGCCGCAGAAAAGAAGACCTACTATTAAAATATGCATAGCTATCACTAAAATAATGTCATCTGATTTTCTGATGTTCAAATAATATTGTGTAGGAGCTCTTTTGAGTGCCTGCAATTACTGCCTACCTATAGAAGCATTCGTTGCATAGTGGAAGCTGATTTGTGCAGGCATCTCTTTGTGCTTATGCATTGGCTGCCTTCTTTAAAATGAATGAAACAGCCATGCAGACAAAAGCTCTCTGCCTTTCATTTGATTTTGTGAACCCACTCCTAAGTTATTTGATTGGGTATTTAAAAACCAAATACTCTATATTTACATATACATAACATGAATATATTTGCCTGATAACTTCTGGTGTGTATTGTGCTTATCACAATTCAAGTTTCATTTCAATTTAATTTAGGTCTCCAGCACAATCCAGTGGATGTTCTCCAAAAGCATTGAGGCAGCGATTTCAAACAGCAGCATGTGAAAAAAAACTTAAGGTACAATAACCTCAGAATATTTGCCCACAAAGAAAAATCTATTTTAGTTAAACTTCATTGATTTTATATATTGCTTACTGTAAGCTGTCTAAGGCCTAATACGCAGTTTAGAAAAGGCTTGTATAGGTGAAGGCTTATTAGAGTCTGCAGAATGAAGGTGGAGAATACTGTATTTAGATTTCTTTCCACCCTATACCACCCCACTTAAGAATGAAAATGCCTGCATTTATAAGACGAGTATGTCAGGGAGAAATTTTTCTACTGGCTAGATCTGCTGCATGGTTCAGGAGATTGTTCCCCACCAGGAAATCATTCCTGCATGGAATTCATACCCATTTGAAGTTCATCCTCTGTTTCTGGGTGCTGGGTTTCTATTTATCGGGGAAGGTAATCTGCATATACTGAGCAGCATATAAAATGGTGATGAACAGGTTCGGGGAATAATTCTGCCACAAATGAAAACTTGTTTATGTCTGAGAGCATAATAGGTTACCAAGTATTTGTGCACTTGTCATAACGGAGACTTGCATTTAACAGACTTGCTGAACTTGTAGCTCATCAGACTGAATATAACTGAGTTAGCCATGCATTTTGGTTTCTTGGCTGTCTCTCAATCTCCCTTTTTCAGACCCTGACAGACAACAAAAATAGGCTTACTGAACCCTTGGCAGACCATATTCAGCATTGTTGGTTGTATGTAGGTTTGTGGAGGTTTTTGGATTGCTTGTTTTGTAGCAGGGTTGCTTCTCTGGGATTGATGATTGATTGAAACCATTGTGGGGTTTGTGGTGGATCTTTGTGACACTGCTATATAAGTTACATTATTTCAGTTGTGATGGGGCATATTTTACTGCTTCAGAGTACCAGCGGACCAAATGTGTTTTTATAAAATCCTTGATTTCATTGACAAACCTGTCTTCTACACTCTGGTTATACTAAAAATTTCCAGTGCTTTATTCTGTTTCTGTAAATAGTATGGGTAGTCTAATAGGTCATGTATCAGCAGGACCCACTACTAGCAAAACAGGGAACCAGTAGCTCTTAAAGCAAATGAAAACTGGCAAAATGGCAGTAGGAACACAGTGGCTGTGTTAGATACAGCCTGGTATTTGCAAAAATACTCAAATTTGCTAGCTTATTAGGAGGCATATATTTACATTCCCTTACAGGCTCACATTTCGTTGTGTAGTACCTGACTATTGTCATTAGTGCTTGAGTTAAAAAAATAGCAGTGAACAACACGTTTGACAATTTGTTTGTGGTATGCATTCAGATTTAAATATTTGCCCAGTTAAACAGTGACCAACTTTAATTTGTTTCAGGATCCAGTGTCAAACTTGTGTACAGGGGGTTTAAAAGCAGGAGCTGAAAATTGCTGTTGACATCATGGCCAGGAATTTAATTCAAGTGAGCAGCTTCCATCAACAGGAAACAAGTTTTGCCCTTATGGAAGGGGGAGTCCTGACAGCATTTCCCTTATTAAGCCAGTAAAATAGGCTTCCAAACTACCCTTTGCCTCTGAGTCACTAATCCTGCCACTTCTCCAAGCAGGAGTTAGCAGCAGCATTTTTTTCCTCTACTTGCATACTTTAACTATTCCACACCTTGACAGTGTCTGTCTCCCTTTCCCTGTGCTCAGTTCCAAATAAAGCCCCATGTAGCAGTGGGAGCAAGAAGCAGAGCTTGCCTAAGATGGGAGGCAGAGAGTTACATGGAAAAAGAGTTTTGAGAAGAGATGCTGGACAAAGCAGAGGAGAAACCAGGACTGAATTTTGGGGGTGAAGGATTCAGTGTTATTTAGTTATGCAATTGCAAGAGAGGTGCAAACAGCTCTATTTTTGAAGCAGGAAATGCAGGGACTGAGACACCAAACATTTCATCACCATCCAAATTTATTTCATAGCATTACATCATATGGATGTAAAGGACCTGAATACTGTATAGCAGAGAGGAGGTTTGGCTTGGCTGGATTCTGCAAGAGCTGTTTACTAACAATATGCTCTTTTCAGCAGAATCCTAAAAATAGGAACTGAACCAACCTGATTATCATAAAACTTGCCAGATATAAAGCCCCAAATTGTTTTTCTGAATCATTTGAGCTGCCTTATTGTGGCCTTAAAGAACTTAGGGTAACCCTTTTGCCAGGGGGATTGAGTGGAGGGAATCAATAGAAAAGCATTTCCAGATATTTTAGCTTTCCCCAAACTGCTTTCCTTCAGGTGTTTTGGCCTATAGTTCTAGCATTTATAATGATTGCCTATGCTGGCTGGAGCTGATGGGAGTTATAGGTCCTTCATACCTATTGTTGGAAGCAAGAATGGTTTGAATAAGGGATCAGTCCTTCTCTATGGCAGCATCCAAATTAAGAAACCTGCCCAGTGATCCTCAAATGACTCTTTCTCGTTCTCTTTTTTTAAAAATTCCAGCAAGACTTTGGCTGTTATATGTATATATGAATAATTGTTTTTTAATGCTGTAGCTGCCTCTATTGTATTGCATTTTAGTGTATTTTAGTTGCCTTGTGTGAACTCACAAGCATTAGAAGGACAGGGTAATACTGCTTTTTTATACTCTGTTGTTGCAGATTGCTTCTTGTTTGTACACTTAATTTCAAACTTTAATCTCAAATTATAATCTTTCAAGAAGAGATACCATAATGTTTGTGTTCTCTCACATATGTAACACATTTGCATTGCTGGGAAAAATGAATATCTTTTCTAAGAATTGTAGGGGCCTTAAAAATAAAATAAAGATTCAGTTTCTAAATGTCCTAAAATATTAGTATTGCTGTGGAGAACTAGTTTTGATTACAGTAGGATAAATTCATTGTATGCTTATGTATGCAGATAAAATTTTAAGCAAAAAGGTATCTTCCTTTTATTCTTAACAACTGTTTATCTGACATTAATCTGATTTCTTTTTAGTTGAAGCAACCTTTAATTAGGTCCCAGTTTGCTTGCACCTACAAAGATGATCAAATAACTGAGGCAAAGAGTCAGCACTTCATCACCAACCAGGTCCCAACATGTACACAAATGGTACCAAAAACACTGGCAGCTATGTATACCGAAGACAAGTCAATTGCAGGTAAACTAATCATGAATGAACCTCTCAGGGACTCTGTTCTCTCTTCCCCATCCTTTCTCCCCTAAGTAGTGCTATCTTGCAAATGAGCTGAATGGAAATGTATCCTACCTAATCAAATGATAAACTGTTTGGTATAAAAAAGGCTCATGCAGTATTAGAGCAAGTTCCATGTATTTCAGTGTTGTGTTCACACAGTGGCCAACAAGCTGCCCATAGAACTTCCACAGGCTGAGTGCAACAGAACCCTCTGAGTGGAACATAAGTAACCTGTGATCACACCAAAGGGCCAGTGCTTGTTTCCAGTTTCATCAGATGCCCATAAGTGGGACATGAAGGGAATAGCCTGTTTCTTCTTCTTCAGCCTAATCTACTTTAGATAGTTGGTGTGAGGAGTGATGTGTACTACACCAAAGTCATCCACATATTTGTGGGTAGGTGATGCTTTGAGAAGAATTCTACCTGGCCTACATTATGTGGGGTGTGTGTGTGTGTGTGTGTTAGAGAGAGAGAGAGAGAGAGAGACTCAGACTCAGACTCAGACTCAGACTCAGTCCAGACAAGGCAAAAGTTTGAGTCTATCATCTTCCCAGCTAAATAGTGTTTAACTTGTTCTGGAGGGAGTTTGTAGTTCATCGGAACTCATGGATTGTCACTGTAGGCACAGATGGCCTTAGTGTTGCAGATCATGACTTTATAAGTTTAGACTGATAAGCCAGCTATGAATCAACCTGGACAGAGAACGACTAGCCTTAGTTATCCACACTCTGGTAACTTTTTATTTGGAGATCTCTCTCTCTCTCTCTCTCTCTCTCTCTCTCGCTCTCGCTCTTGCTCTCTCTCTACACACACACCACTCACCATGGGACTGCCTTTGAAAACAGTCCAAAATTATAGCAGTTTAAAAATAGAATAGCAAGATTGTTAACAGGGATTGACTAATACTTATTAAATGTCTATTCAAATGTCTCTAAGCATTTTAAAATAATAATATAATATAATCATATTGTACCAGTACTTTGGGATCTGCAATGGCTTCCAGTCTGTTTCTGAGCTCAATTAAAAGTGCTAGTAAAAACCTTCAAAACCCTAAGGAGTTTGGGGCCACATTACCTGAAGAACAGTCTTCTCCCCAGATCCCATTGTCTGGGCGCCCCTACTGAGTGAGACTCCAGAAGCACATTTTCAGTGGTGGTATTCTAGCTATGGACTGCACACCCCGGAGAGTATCACCTGGCACCTATGTTCCTGTGTTATAACCTTTCAGTGCCATTTTCCCCCTCCCAGTCTTTTTAGTTTTTCAGATCTAAAAAAAGTATTGGTGTGCTTTTTTTTTAGACCTTTGCACTTCTGGCTTTTCCTTTGGTTTTATTCTGTTTTTAAGAATTCTGTTTATTATGTTGTTATATGTCATGGTTTTATGTTTTATTTTGTGACCCATTCAGAGAACTTCGACTACCAGGTAGCATAGAAATGTAGTAATACAGATGCTTGAAGATTCTGCTGCTTGCATCCCTTAATTATTAAACTACAAAAAGCTTTTGTATTAATTAAGGCATTAGGTATCATTGGTGTTTAAAATAGCATTGTTTATGCGTGCAGTTTTGTCCTGCCCACAGGGCTATGCTTCTTTTGCATTGTTTCTACAAGTGAGTAGTGGAACCATCATTGGGTGTACATTTGCAAGGTCAATCTAATGCATGAACCTGCCAGGCATGATCAGTTCATGTGATCAAAACAGTCTATGGATGTGTCTGCTACTTCTGTAACAAGTTCATTAGCCTTTAAGGTGTCATCAGGCTTTGTTATTTATAGTCTGATTACTTGCTGCTGCAATGTTTTTGGTCACCAGTTCCAACTTCTGCATTTGTCCACCCAGATAGATTCCTGTGTGCAGTTGGAACTTTTCAGATGTAACAATCTCTTGTGTAAACTGGCCTTGAATAAAAATCTATGCTGTAAATGTTTTTGAAAATATATTTTAAGTTCTGTATGTTTTAAGGTCTCCTATGTATTGACATACCAAATAGGTGAATACTTAATAGTCTTTCAAAAATGTTAGTAATTTCTTTACCTAGTTCAACAAATATTTGCATTAGTCTATATAAATTTATTTTTTATTTCTTGAAGTGTTTGCTGAAATGTTTCAAAAACAATTGTTAAGATCCTATCTAATTTTTAGTCTTTATTATACAAGATTTAGTTAATTTGTTTTCCAAGAAAGCAGTTTATTTTTTAAATGATGCACACTTGAGTGACTAGCAAACCAGAGAAAATAATTCAAATAATAATATATACTGTTCCTTTAAAAAAATCTTACTTTAAAATCTTTTTTTTAAACCAAAACAGAATGCCTGAATTTGCATCTCGACAGTGCTGTACTTAGAAATAGTTCTGGAAATGTTCATCAGAATGGAAGTAAAAGTAAAGAAATGGGAAAATTAAGTTGCCAGCCAAGAAACAAGAGCTCAAAGAGGAAGCAGGTGGACAGGACAAGTGAAAATGTCACATGCAGTAATGAAAATCAATCACTTCAACACATACACAGTAAGAGACCAAAGACAGCAATGGGATGCCAGAATGGTTTGGAGAGCAGCAAAATAAAAGGAACCAGCAAATGCAGCAAGGGTATAGCCAAAAATAAACTGATCGCTGGTCAAACAAAGTTGACTCAATTCTTTAGATTATAAATGTTCTTCCTACAATTCTTGTGCAAATGTCAGTGTCTCTGTTTGAAAGAGAAAAACAGCAGCTACATTAAGATCTCTGTCACTGTGATTATGAATATTATACAAGATGGATATTTATTTTGGACAAAAGGACAAACAAGCTTTGCAGAATTCTCAGTTTTAATAATGCACTGTAATTGTTACATTTATTTGATCATGTGTTGGTGTTATGACATACGAATAAATATTTAGAACCTATACAAACATACAGCAGTGCAAACCACAACTACATCTTCAATGAATTGTCAAGAAAGCGGTGTTATCTCTCCAAGGGATGTTCTTCAATGTGTTTTAGACTTGCCAACAAGGACGATAGACTCTTCCAAGCATGCACCTGAGCACTGAAGAAAATACCCAAGAAGTTTTGTCAGATGTTTTCACTAACTGACATAATGCTTGTATAAATTGGCTTACAATCTTCACTAACCCTTAAAATATTTGGGCCAATTTTTCTAGCAAATGCTTTAGAAATAGCTGCAGCCTAAAATATTTGTCTCATTAGTTTTTACTTGAATATGCTGTAATAATCCAGCTGTATTACTTGTTCAAAATACCATGAACCTTATACTTACTATCAAAATCTCTTCTTCCAATAGGTAACTTAGCTGAGTTCTCCTCCTCTCCAGTTTCTCTCCTTTCTTGTAGTGATTCAACACTTTCAACTTCAGCATCAGCTGGAAAAGCCATAGGTCCTTCCAGTGCAAAATAAGGAAGCTGCTTAAAGTCCACATTCAGTGGCTGACCATGGCTTATGACAAGGTGTTTAGAACCTATATTCTGTATGTCAAAGAAAAGGTTAATTTAGTTGTAAAGAGAACATAATAGTGACCAGAATCCAAAGTGCAGTGGCTACAACCCCACCTGATGATCCATTTCCAAGACGCAGACCTGGTTTCATGACAGAGCGGCCCCTATGGCTAAATTTGCTTGGGGGGACCATGCCATGTTTGCAGGGTGTCCTGTGGTCTCATGCAAATCCGAGAAAGAGATGTTGTTTTGAAAGGGGCATTTTATTAGGCAAACCAACAAAATTATGCCTTTGCCTGAGTTTGCATGACAGCCCTTGTGAGATAGTTCCACATGCTTTAATCTTTTGCTGGTTTAAGGCTGCACATTGCATAGATGTCAATGAATCAGGACTGCATCCTACTTTTCCTGTTCCTAAATTAATGCATAAAGTATTTAAGACCAAAATAAGAATTTTAAAAAATGAAAATACAGTGAGATCAAATTGCACAGAAGTAAAGTTGGAAATCAGTTATATTAGCATTTTAAAATATTTTTAAACTGTAGTGTTTGCCTGAAATCTCAGATTTACTCTATGCATTACTATACCTGAAACAATTTACTGCAATGTTTTGTCACAAATCTTTTCATAGTTTGTAAAGTAAACAGTGTCCCTGTGTTCAAATATGATGGCTGAAAAGAAACTCACAGAGAATTTTGGGGTGCCATCTTCTTCCAGAAAACTTCTGTCCTCTATTTTATAATGCTCCAAAGAAGATGGAGGCCGTGACTTTTCAGCTTTCCTCCCATTCTGTATTACTTTTCCAAGACTGAATGTGCTTAGCAGCATATCATCTTCTGCTTTTCGCATAGACTTTGAAACAGAAAGTAAGAAACCTTGAGAAAAGAGAGAGAAAATTAAAAGTAATGCATAAAATGAGACACACATTTTCCTATGTTTTAACATTTGCATGGAAGTGAATAAATTTCAAATATTATTTGAGAAGCCTGTCCATGAAAGCAGTGTTTGGTCACAAAAACCGCTATCTTTATATAGCTTACAAAATGAATGGAAACCACTTCAGAGTCTTAGGCATTATTTAGATGCCTGTTAGAGAGTGACCTTTTGTACTCTATTACAGGTCTTTTATTTAAAGCCGTAGGTGATGGATTTAACATTATTTTGAATTCTTTAGATTATCACATATTAAACATTACAGGGCACTGCAAATCCCCATTCCTTCCTTTTCTCAATGGACCTTCATTTCCACTTAGGATAATTTCAGAAAATAACTAATTTGCACATGAGTGAAAAAAAGAGGAATTCTAAAACAGAATGGTGAGAGGGAAAAATCCCTCTGAAGAAATGTCTAATTGTCATTTTAATTTTTTAAAAGAGTTGTTTAAACAAGGTGGGTACTAGATCTTTTATTAAACTGAATAATGTGGAGAAACTGTATAGATGTTGTCCCCTCCCTCATAGTACTAGATTTCAGAGCCACCCAGTGAGTTTATTTTCAGTAAGTTCAGGACAAGCAAACAAATACCTCATATAACTAGTGGAATTTTGTTACCATAGATTGTAGTGATAGCCACTATAATATTGATTATAAGTATCATTTTTCTGCCCATCAAGGCAAGGCCCTCAAAGTAATGAATACTAAATTTAACAAGGTTAAGTCTACTCAGTCACAATATCTCAGTGGAACCTGATGTACAAATAAATAAGATTGGCAATGAAAACAGTGCAAGTTGCTGTTGTGCTTCCACTTCTGAACTTCCAGAATAATTTGGCCAGTTACTATTGATATTGCCCTGGTTTCAATGCAGTTTTGTTTGATCTAGTATGGCAGTTGTGATACCTTCTCAGGCTAGAAGGCATACTATCATTTGGACTTTTAACTTGGAAGTATGGTGAGGAATTCAGGAAAGGCTCTGCAAAACTTGATTAGAATTAATTGCAAGTTGGGAATGTTTTCTGAGGACCACATGCTTTCCCGGGATTCTTGCTTTCCCTGACAGTAGAGTGAGATGACTGCTTTAGGCTTAGAGTACTGCACATATTAAGAATTAGCACTCAGGCTGGCCACTAGTGACCAAACAGTACAAGGGGATTACAACTATGCCCTTTTGTGAAAATGCTGTCCAGTTATCCTTTCTACTGTCCCTCATCCTAGAATATGTAATACTGGACAATGCGCTTTAAGTTAGCAGATAGATTATTGTGCCTCCTACCCATAAATGTGAATCTTTGCTTACCTGTGGCTTTTTTATAATGATGCAAAACAGAATTTGATTCATTATTACATCTTTGTGTAGCACCATGCATGGGTTCTACAGCTACACAAATGCACAAAGAACAGTCTAACAGTCTAGACAGGTGCTCAACAGGACTCCTCCCCATGCAAGGAGATCACTGTCCATCTGTGTGTGTTAGATGAGCACCTTCCATGCTGCCACGTTAATGGCTGGTTTGGAAACTTGTGAATTTCAGGATCTTTATTTTTCTTAGAGAGATAGTTACTCCACTTTCTATTAGTTCTTGGTGTATTTGACCACTGACCCTTTTTTGTTGATGATGGCAAGATATTTTGTATGGCACACCAAGTAACTTATAAAAAGTCACCAGACTTCTGTGTGGGGTGAGGGAGGGCATAATCATTTGCCTTGAAGAGGACTCTTGCCTAAGTTTCCTGCCTGTCTTGAAGAAGACTCCTGCCTAAAATTCTTCAAACAGAAGTGTTGTACTGCTTTGTTTTGTCCAGAACTGCTTTATGTGGAGTGTGGAAAAGGCCACTTATCTCATCATGTGGTCCTATTATTAAGAGTACCATCAAAAGTGTGTGGTTTGTTGTCGCCCCCCCCCCCCCCCCGTTTTGCTTCTGATCCTGTTCAGACCTAAGTTCAACACTGGCTTAATGTATCTTTACTTATATTCTTCTGACAGTCTAGAAAGGGAGAAGCTGCCTTGTCTGACTACCTATTCCAAGAGAGTCCAAAGCACTGGGATCCTGTTTCCTGCTGGACCTCCCAGTGGCTTAAACTATGGGATTCTGGATAAGGACCCAAGGTGTGGGTGGGCAGGATGTCTGCATTATGTAGGCTCTTTCCTAGAGGGCACTTTTGGACTGGGGGGAACTTGTTCCTTCCTGTTGGAAATGTCTATCATTTACAGGTTGCAATTTTGTTCCCCGTGTTTGTTAGCATTTATGTGAAACCCTAGCAACTGGGCCTAGGGTAAAAAGAGAGTAGAGATTTGTACAATGTTTGTGCATGCTAACATATGGATAGATACACATTTAAAAATAAGTATAATGAAAATCAAATGCAGTACATCTCAATGTGTGTGATCAGATGGCCTGGGTACCTGGCTTGTTCAGTTTACTAACTGTTGATGGTCAGCCTTAGTGTGGCTACATGTCTCCCATTTGAAGCTCTGTCAATGGATTGTTCTCTGTTTTGAAGGCTTCTTTTATTTGAAGAACTGCCCAGGTTAAGAATTTCCAACTTTGTATCTATTCATCAGTATATTCAAACTGACGTCCTCATTTGTCATTGTCATCTTTTTGTGCTGCTAGTGCTTTCTGGTAATTCACAGAAGTGGCTTCCCTAACAACCATTCTTATGGGACCATATCTTTCAACAGAGGACATCCTTAAATAAAGGTTGGTCTTCAGGTTGCTGTTCAAAAACAGGACTGTCCTTTGTAAAAGAGGACACCTGGCCACCCTATAAACTTGTGTGTCTGTTCAAGTGATGTGTCAAGTCAAAGCTACGGGCAGATGGGCGTATTAGATTAAGACTCCTTCCAAGGCGAGGAGGGGGAAATGGTGAGCACACTAGAGGGCAGCAGGAGCAGATCAAGACCGAGTGAGTGAACCTCAGGCATGAGGCAGCAGGTGAACAAACAGTGTCTACTGCCCAATTACGGGACCTATGGCTTGGTTTAGTCTGGTTAGGAGGAACAGAGCCTTCAGCTAACGGAGCCTCCATAAAATTCGGCAGCTCCACTTAGTAGTATAATTAACTACAAAAGCCCATAGTGGTAGTTCAGGATGTGCTCTAGGCTGACATTTTATTTGGACTCAGGAAAACTACTTAGACATGGCCAAAATAGCTGAATTTAAAACTGTCATTATGCAGGGAAAAGAAAATGGAAATTTTTTTGTCCTGTAACATGAAGAAAATACCATGAAATAGAGCCAAAAACGAGTTTTATAACAACATAGTGCAGGGAAAATTTTCTAAACTAATAGTATTTGCAGATGCAGGGTTGTTCTTATATGATTGTGCTGCCAAACACACACTGAAAGGTATGTGGAAGGGAGGGGGAGACGATGAAATATTGTTTTTAATACTGTAAAGTTGGAAAGACAGATTTCATTGTATTCAAATTTCTAATCTATACCTCCCACAGGGTCAAGTAGTAATAATGAAAGTGTGCATATTCAAAAAATATTAAATAGCTAAAATGAGGGGTTCAGAACTACTATCTGCTTGTGCACAAGTAGATTTTAATAAGGGGAAAAAAACCTCAAAGAGCAGTGCACAACTTTTAAAATTACAATGGTTCCAGAGGCAACCTCAATCATTAAGCACATTTCGTTGAACCAAATTTGACACAGTGGTAACAGATCTGAGTGCTTATATCTGGGTCTACCAAAATTATGCAAGTAGCAGGGGGCGCTGATAAAAGAAGGGAAAGGGCTACATGGCTGAGGGATTGTTGAACTTTTGTCCCTCTCATGGCTTACCTCCCTCCATCTGGCACGAAAAAATAAACCAAACAGAGCAACAGAAAAACGTTTCTCAAACTCAGCTTTCATAGAAGAACCAATAAAAGAGAAAAATCTTATTATACCCATGGAAACATAAGAAAGGGGCTTGTACAGGATTACTGGGTTTCCCTGTCATGGATGGGTTGGGGATGCTGGAAACTGTAGTACAACACTCCTGGAAGGCATTAGCTTAGAGATGGTAGCCGTAGGCAGAGAAAGACAGTAGTTTGTTAGTTTGCTTATTTATCCGTAGCTGAACAGCAAACAATAGTTTCTAATGCTCCCTGCAGTGCAGGCAAAAAAACCCTGCACTTTTTGGTCCATGGGTGAAAGAGGAAGACGTCTTGCAGGTGTAGTTGCTGGGTCAGCATCAGTTCCTGACATCATTCTAGCAGGGACCCTTGTTGACATTGTCTTTTGGTCTACAGCCCTTGGCCGCTGAGCCTGGAAGCAGCATGCCCTTTTAGTTACCTGCAATGTCCCAGTGCGATGTTATGCTGAAGGCTCTGAGAGAAATTAAACCAAGGGAAGGAGGGACCCCTACCAAAGGCACATTTTGCTATGGCACCCTTTCGACACAGAACTGCATGAAGATGCCACATGAGATCTGATTTATATATTGGCTGCCTGTCCCCCTGTAATAGGGTCTGAAAGGCACCTTACAACCATTGTAAAAAGAATACCAATACTGCATAAATATAAACCAGAAACAGCAGTGGTAATAAATCAGTGAGCAGAGAAGTTATTGCAGGAGGTGCCAGTGTATGTATAAGTGTGCATGAAAGCAGGGAATCGGGTCTTCTGGAGCAGAGAAATCCAAAGCTTGGGTACTATCTTATGAAGGCCAAATCTTGTGTGGCAAGCATTCTAAGTTTCTAAAGGAAGTGGAACAGAAAGAAAGGCCTGCTCTGATTAAAAAAGTGTATGGGGAGGTCCCTGTAAGGGGAGACAACTATTTAGATAGCCATGTCCAAACCCATTTTGGATTTTAAAGATAACAATAATGATACTGAAAATAATTGGGATCCAATTAAGTTGGTATAATAGTGGTGTTGTGTGATCAGACGTTTGGGTTCTCAGCAGCAGCCTAGCTGCTCCATTTTTTACCAGCTGGTCTCTAAATTCCTTTCAAATCCATTATTCATCGATAATACATTTTATGTAATTTCAGTTTTGTACTAATCATAAT